AGACATAAGGCGAGTAACCCTAACAATTTTAAATTTGGAATTTTGAGAAAAAATTTTAAAGGATTTTAAAATTAGAACTAAAGATTTTATAGTGCTGCTACAGGTACGTCAGAATTAACGTGTGTAAAGTGATCTACATCCAGACAGATATCAATGAAGTAGATGTTGATAATAACAAGGAAAGTGTTTTAAATGTTAAATTTTTGGCTGAGTGCAGTGTGACAGCGACGTGAGTGTTATACACCTGATGATGGCCGTCTGTGGCCGAAACATGTAGTGTTGGTGAACAAGATCAAGGACACGTAATATATTGTTTGCACTTGGGACGGAATTTGTATCATTATATCATTTATCGTATAGAGTGCAACAGGATGCTTAAATATAATATTGTAAACAGTAAGTCTCTTTAAGAAGAGAAACAGATTCATGAAGTAATCTTGTAGAAAGTTACTGGTGTTGCATATAGAAGGATTTAAAACAATACTGTTTTCACTGCATGTTGCATTTTACGTATCACAGTATTTATTGCTACAAAATGGCCAGCTGATCTAATAGATAGGCTCCATGCTCCTCAAGTATGATTGTGTCTTTTAATAGCGAGGTATTGGGACTGGACACAATTTCAAAGCAGACTGATTCTCATTCTATAAAACTGTTTAAATGCATGCAGTGTATCAAGTCAAGGAGGATGAGGTGGGCAGGGCATGTAGCACAAATAGGGGAGACGAGGAATGCATATAGGATATTGGTGGGAAAGCCAGAAGGAAAGAGACCACTGGGAAGACCAAGGCATAGGTGAGTGGACAATATTAAAATGGATCTTAGAGAGATAGGATGGGATGGTATGGATTGGATTGATCTGGCTGAGGATAGGGACCAGTGGAGGGCTCTTTTGAACATGGTAATGAACCTTCGGGTTCCATAAAATGCTGGGAAATTCTTGAGTAGCGGCAGAATTGGCTGCTCCTCCAGAAGGGCTCAGCTCCATGAGTAAATAAGTAAGTATATCAGTAGTGTGATAAGTAGTATTTGCCTCACCACCATTAGATGTTTCAGTTGCCTAGACCATTATCCAGTGGTTTATAAATAATTAAATAAATAAAACATATCATTACTCTATTGCAGGGTAAAGTGGATTAATTTTTACAAAGAAAAATATCATGACACGTTTCTTTTGTGAGATGGTAAACTGTAAAAATTGATTATATTAGTCACTAAAGTGTTAAAGAGATTAACATTGGAGGCTGAGAAGGGGGACGACATGTAATTTGGCGCTGGTTAAGTGTGCCATGGTAAGTGTATATATGTACAGTTGAGTGGTAAGAGCAATGTGGTATCTGTTGATAGTTTTTAATATTATGATTGGTGACCCATTGCCAAGTAACAATTATGTAAACAGGCGACAGTGCAACAGCCATTGCTAGGCAACAGCTCTGTCGATACATCATTTCCCTGGCAACGAGAGAGCGCACAATATTGGAAGAGGTGTTTTCTGTGCAGTTCGTGCCGAGGCTGAGAATTAGTAGTTCATTTGTGGTTCAGTCAGTTGTGAGAAATGAGAAGCTAGTAGCTGAGGGCAGGGACAGTTCAGGACCCCAGAGGAAGGGGAACGTCCTCCATTGGAAACTACTACCAAGCAATAAATAGTGAAGATTGAGAAGGCCTTATGTATGTTGTAGTTACAGTGATCTTTAGAGCGTATAACTCAGCGAGACTGTCATAGTTATTTGTAGTTATGAGCGTAAGTATTCAGTACTGATTGTGGGTTACTACATAGTTGAAACCTCTGTTGTTGTTGGAACTATGAGGTTCATTATTGCCTGCTGTGATGTGTCCAGGGTATGACTGGTTGGCGTACTGGAAGTAATTGTGTGGATGGTCAGAATACCTTGATGTAACACAACAGGATGCAGAAAAAGAAGAAATACTTTAATAGCCCAAAGAATATCCAATCCATACTTTCTCTCTGTTATTTGTTTTTCTGTATCACTGCAGGTAGGAACAGATTACTTTGTTTCCAGTAAAGCATTTAAACAGAGATCTCTGTTTCCAGATGATTTTTCCATTCAAGTGGCAATGCCCATACATCCCACTGTGTCCACTGGGCTTGGCTGAAGTGCTTCATGCCCCTCTGCCATTCCTTATTGGTGTTGACTCAAGATTCTTTGATCTCTACGACCCGCCATCAGATGTCACCTGTGTGGACTTGGATACCAACAACATCACATTGTAAGTATCAGCGTCTCTCATGATGGTACCGCTCTGTCTAAATTGAGTCCAGGTCTGTGGTGTGTATTACAAAGTTTATTTCTTGCACTTGTCCATCTGCACTGTAACAGATCTGTTATAAGTTCACTAGCAGATATATTTTTGCTTAGCTATTTTATTATTATTATTATTATTATTGGAGGGGGTGGGTTTCCTCATGCACCGCGACCAGTGGTCTATTGTATGCCCCCCTGTGATATTCTACCAGTCTCTATACCCTACCGATACTGGTGCGTGCCGTCAGTCCCGACTCAGCCAGCGAGTTTGGCCTCTACTGGCTCATCGGTATCTAGATGCTTCCCCCATCTACCAGAGGCGTTAGAGACTATTGTTGGGTGGGAAATGACCTTTTTAATTTAGCTCAGAGGCCTCCTTGAGGTATGAGGTTCTTTTACGTGCCGTAAAGCTACGACACGGGACCCACGGCTTAAAGTCCCTCCCGGAGGACTTTTTTCCTGAATTTTTCCACCCTTAAAAATTCCATGACCTCCGCCGGGTATTTGAACCCGCGTACTATGAGTCATGAGGTGGGAACATTACCTCTAGACTACGGAGGCTGCTTTTTGCTTAGCTATCTTCATTGTGTCTCTGATCGATTTTGAGCCATTGCCTCTTCCGTGATTTGTAGTGTATTATTTGCCATTCTTCTTTGAGATTACTTCTTGTTCTGTGCAGGTTCAGTAAGTTCTGGGCTATAATGTCATGTAGTCCATTGAATCCTGTATGTCACAGATGATAGTACTCTTCATAACTACTGCTTTGAGAACCTCAAATCCTATAATAAGTATGTTGTTTTGGTTAATATATTGTTCATTTAATATTGAGAAATGGAGAACAGCAAGGACATTTTGAAGATAGCACCTAAAGAAAGAAATATAGATACCTTGGAACAGTATTACATGTACAAATTTAAGAGGGCAAGGTTAACCATAGTTAGACAGTACACTACATACTTTTGAACTTTTTGTTTTAGAGACCCCCCCTTTCTGTAGTAGCAAATTTTTTCCAGAACTATTTGCCACAGAGATCTTACTGAATGCTACAGGTGTGAGGAGAAGCGAGGCCTGACTTCTAAGTTGCTGCCAAAAAGGCCGGCACGGGCCCTTCGTAATACCTTGGAAGAGCTGGCTAACAAACTTCATCAGTTCATGAGCAGCGTTGCCAAGAACTCTGCCCAGGATGCCAGCATTGATAGGGACTTCCAGCAGAAGCGAAAAGAGGTAATTTTATTGTTGTTACTGTAGAACTGTTACTGTGTCAAATATTACATATATTTCAAAGGCTTTAAATCCAAAAGAGGAGGAAAATATTACTCTGAAACGCAGGTAACATTTACTATTGTGACCTGGTGTCTTATACAGAAGACTGTAGTGAATATGAACTGCTCTGAAAACTTGAAAGTGTCGTATTAGTTTTGAGGTAACAGTCTTGAGGGATGTGGCACGTGTACTTTAGTAGACAGGTACCAACAGTTTTGAAGGAGCTATTTCCTCCATTTTCAGGTGGAAGATACTCCTCTACCCTGAGGTGGAGGCAATCAATACATTCAAAATATGGGTATATATCTGCCAAATTACATGGTATCGCATTCCAGAAGACTATAATCCTGTTACCTCTTTTTCATATCCAAATTGTAGTTTTGTGATATATGAGTTAACTGTATTTTTTCATAACAGTGATTGGTTACCATGCTGTCTCTTTGCTTCTTGAATGTTTTTAATGACTTGGTATACTGCTTGACTTCTTCTTGATCTGTTATTCCTGTTTAATACTTATCAGCAGGGCCCGGATTTTAATGACCTGAAAATATTTAAAAAATCACCAAAAACGTCCAGAAAAATGACCTAAAATATGACCCAAAAATGTAATATGTAGGGCCTGGAATTTGATGACCTGAAAACATTTAAAAAATGACCCGAAAACAATCCAGAAAAATGACCTAAAGGAGAAAGAGAAAGAACACTTCGCTTCCATATTATTCACATTTCAGAAAACATATGAAGAAAAATCCCCTAAAATGGCCAAAAATGGCAAGAAATACCCTTAAAAGTCCAAAAATTTACCAAAAAATTACCTATAAAATTTACAGTTCTGTAACCAACAGCTCATATCCAAGAAGTATATATTTAAGAGCATCGCATAGGATACAAGGAAAAAAAGATGACATGTCATCAAAATCCGGGTCCTGCTTATCAGTGGATGACAGAATGTATCAAATCTCTTCTGTTTTCTCACAGTCTTTTTTTTTTCTTCATTTCTTTGCTAGCCCTGTACTCTCTTTTTGCCGTCTACCAATACCTGGCTGAACCTTGTTTTTCAGGCTCATCTCATAGGTCTCTTGCCTTTAAATGTTAATGTTAATGCCCTCCTTAGTATAAATCCTTTTGTAACTCTGTTAACAAATTGTGAATACGTGTTTTTTCCGAAAAATAAAAATCTTGACTTTCCCCAGTACTCATAAATTTTGCTACTTGTGTGAATGGAAATTTACTCCAAACCAGAGGTGCCCCTCCCCCCACACACACACATATACACACATACACACACAGTAAGAAGCAAGCCTGCAGAAGGAAAATGACTTTGAAGAATGCCGTCTTCTGGGATGTGGCCCTGTGTAGATATTGTGTAATCTTCATAGTAACCACCATGAAAACCACAAATCTTACATAGAAAGTGACTTTGTTACTGTTTTTAGGGTTTCTTGTCACATTTACTGTCTTTCCGAGTGTTGATTATTCTTCATATAACTCATAGCAAGTAGCTTTTGGCCCTGACCTTAAAACAGAATTGTATCTCCCTCTGAATGCGTGATATGATGAAAATATTGACATATTCTACATCTTAAAAACATCAGTCTTCTAAAAGCATGAAATTTTCAGAAACAGACGCATACTTCACATTCAAATTCAAAATAACTCTTCTTTTTCTTAACTCTAAAATATCTAAAGAATTTAAATCTTGCATTTGGATTAATACTCTCTCTTGAAATTACTTTAAAGATTTGAAAATAAATACCTCATGTCTGTTACAAAACTTTGTATTGTATCTGTTGTTCACTAATAAACCATCTGATGGCTTTACAGCAGTAAAAATAGCTGTCACAACATACATGAACAGATATGTCACACAGGCATGGAAATAATCATATTTATGTTTATTTTCAGCAAAGCCTAGAGTTGGAGATACAAGAGGCATTCTTGCGGTTCATGGCAACTGTTTTGAAAGGCTATCGAACGTACCTGTTGCCAATAACGAAGGCACCGACTATTGGGACTACAGATCCCAGCTCATTATTCCATTTACAAGGTTTGCTCAATTTTAATTTCATTAGTTTAAAACTTAATTGTTTGTCCATTATAACTCAAGGACATAAATTCAGAAGGTATCCATTTTGAATATCAGTTTTACTGGCTGATGTTTATAAGGTCTTCTTCGGATAACTGATGAGAGAGTACCTTAACCCTGAGGACACCACAAGCTGAATAAATCGGCTAGGCGTACTTGCATTAAATTTGCCACATCCAAAGAGAACAACTTAATGTTGATCAGATCTAAAAGTTTGTGATGATGGTAAATTGTTACAATTAATATGTTGCTGGACATTATCCATCATCTTCTCTGTTCTTAAAAAACCGTCTAGTTTCTATTAAAAACACAACATTTCGGGAACTGGAATCTGTCCCCGTCTTCAGGTAAAACCTACTCAGTTGGGTCCAATAGACAGAGCTAGCTCCGATCTCCGGACCTGGGTATGCTGACAGTAGAAATTAAAGGGGGAGACACAATGGACCAATAACTGGTCTAAGTGCACGGGGAAACCCACCCTCTCTACTAATAATAATAGTGTCTGCTGTGGTGATTTGTAGAGAGTGTAGATTGCTGATAGTGTTATAATTATTTGTAGGTGTGGATCTTAAGCATACAGTAAATCCAGTTATCAGTCCACACCTTGTGTGTAGTCACATGCAACAGTATAATGCACCTCTTTCTATTTCAGTACAGTGGACGCTACGGCTAATGTTCCGCGATGTAAAGTTTTCCCTCATTAAACATTTAGTTTTGATGATCTAGTCTTACACATACTGAAGACTATATTGTGTCCCATGTTTATTGCAGGGTTTCTCCGTTCACGTGACAAGACCCATCACAAGTTCTTCAACTTAATAATGAAAACTCAGATGTTCATTAGATTCATTGAAGAAAGATCATTTGTGTCAGACATGGATGCCAGTTTGGCCTTTTTTGATGAATGCACTGAGAAGGTAGGTGGCAGTCTCTTTGTAAAGCAAACGTGAATCCTAGGAATGCACCCTCTGTTTATGTAAACCGTCTACCTCCATTATTAAACACAAACAACAAAACCTCTATTTAGTAAAAGAAGTATTTGCTGCCAATCACAGAAGTCTGCCTTCAAAGTATGTACAGTGAATTCCCTAACTGACTCCATGGAGCTGAATCCTTCTTCAGAAGATAGTAGTTGCTGGGCTACTGAAGAAAAACCCAATGTTTTATGAAACCTGAAGGTTCATTACCATTTTCACAAGGTCCCACATCTGGTCTCTATCCTTAGCCACCAGAATCAAGTCCAAACTCTTTCAATCCCATGTTTCATCTTCATGTAAGACTTAACTGTGAATAATTGTGATGTGATATGATGATGTTATGTGAAAAATTAATGAAGCTGTTTCTACACTAATAGGTACAATTGTGAAGTAAAGGAATTGCATTAATCTTTACATCAGGCCTGTCTAACTTCAAATAGGTTGTGATTGACTCTTTAGTGTGCCAGTGATCTACCACTCCCTCCTATTGTTGTACCTTGCTTTAAGCAAAAACATTGGTAAAAGTAACATGACACATGATGTTTGTTGTAAAAGCAAGTAGTAACTGGGCTGTGTCTCTGACATCCATAGATTCCTCCACTTGTAGGGAGAAAGCAACACAATTGGAAACATCTTTCAACGACTGTTCAGTTATGTTTCCACAGATCATCTCTATTCACTGCACAATGGTGTTTCTTGATAATTGAAGATCTTGAATAGTAGCTGTGATCTCTTTCTAATTTTTAAATCCTTCAAAAAGATTATCAGTTATTTCAAGAAAACACTCTTTTACAAATTCCCCTTCAATAAAAGGTTTGCATTTTTTAACAATTAGATTGCTGACCTTGAAGGATGATTTGGTTGCATTTTTAGAAAGTGACCTTGCTTTTGCCATCAACTGTTATTGAGCAGCTAAGTTCTATTTAAGTTCTTTAAGCTTAAGTTTACGAATTTCACTTTTGGATGGGAAATCAGCATCATACTTATTGCTGTGGAGAGCATTATAATGGCGTTCCAGATTACCCTTTTTTGGCAAGGATACTGAGGCGTTGCATTTTCCACTATATTGAAGTAACTGTTTTACCTGACACACGCACACAGACGCTTTCGAAATTAATAAAATAACGTGGGCAGAGCATTTACTGTCCCTTTGATTACACTGAGCCCATCCCCAAACCCTATATTTGTTTAATGCACAGCAAAGTGACAATCGCCACTATGTTAGTTCAGTGTATGGGGATTCACAGCTGACTGGAGGGAGGGAACGAAGTGAATCACACGTTCTGTCCATCGCTCTTGCATCAGAACACACATGGCTGATGATGAGTGATGAAATAAAGAGTTTACGTGATAAGTATAGAGTAGGGACTTCCCCACAGTTCACTTAACACAAATGTAAAGCAATTTTCACGTAAGCTGCATAAGAAGAGAAAACTAGGAGTGACTAATATGTATTTTCCCATCAAAATCTGAATATAATCATATCATATATTATATTATAATTGAATTTACATGCTTTTCACGTGTAATTTCCCTGTAGGCCTATGAGATCAACCAAAAATCGTCCCGCAATTGACGCGTTGGACATGCCTGCTTTATATCAATTAAGATCATATGAAATGAACACAGTAGTTATGCAGGAACAATTCCTGGCAGAGGAGAAAAGGGAATATCATTTACTGTTTGAATCACAGTCTCACTAAATCAGGGTACAATTTCTGGAATATAAAAAAATTTGTTTCACTGAGTGCAGGTTACAGAAGAGTAATCAATTCTTTATTATAGTAGGCTTTGGCTGGGACCAGAAAAAATATTCGCAAAACAGGAAGTCACTAAATTGAGATCCCAATATCTGTATGAATGAAAACTGTGCACTAAAATTGATGACTTGAGTTGAATCACTATCTATTTGTAGATCCTGCTAACTTCATTATGTAGATAAATGAATTGAAGAAATATAGACATCATAAATAATTTCCAGAATTTCTTATATAAAGCATTGTATTTATGTTAAGTGAAGTTGTTACCTTCTTTCAATTCACGTATTTGTGACTTTCTGTTTGATAGTGCATGCTTTGTGAAGGGACAGTTTCAACTTCGTGCTGAAATGTAGTTTCCAATTTTGGAATGTTAGATGTGTGTCTTTGCATCTTCTTCATTTGTTTGTTGTCAGGTGGAGAGTGATGATGGAGACAATCCCCTTGTGGAGCTTGATGAATCACATCAGAGTGAGCGGACAGTGTTCATCATGCCTCCAGAACCAAATGGATTACCTCGTGGTAGAATGTATTCTTATAAGGTACACAGGTCCTGAGCTATTGCACTGGTGTGTGTGTGTAAAGGGGGATTCATCATTAACCTTTATTGTCATGTGTTGATTAATAGCTCAGCACATTAAGCACCCCAACTGGCTGACATGTGCATTTTTTTAATACTAATTGGCTACTATTATCCACAAGTTAAATTTGGATTTGACACACGTAAAAGCAGGAGATTTAAAATCCACTATTCACTGATGATAAACTGTTTGGCCCAGAATTAAACAATAGCCACCAGACATGGAGCAGGAGATTTAAAATCCCATATTCCCTGGCATTGATTTACTTTACTTTTCATTTCATTTGATGTAGTTAATGAGTTACTGAAAAATACTGTTTCAGTAACAACTGGTGTGAATCTATATATGACTGGTGCCCACAAACAGAAATATTTTTTAAAAAGTTATAATTAAATGTACACAAATGAAATACATGATAAAATTATTACCCCCATGTAAAAATGTGGTCACCAGAGGGAGATAAAACCCCAGTTGCTGCACAATAAAGATTAATATAAGGGACTTACATTGAGACAAATTGGGGTCCCTTACACAGAATATAATTTTCAGATGTCAGAAGATGTTACTCAGTTGCTACCTGAATGAGAACAGTGACATAGTTTGTGCTTGTTTTTGGTTGTTTGTTTGTGTTTTCTGCCAAACTCACACTGTGAAATCAGCGTCTTGTTTCCATTGTGTTATTCCTATTGTGTTCGTGTTCATGTGTACTGTGTATAGTAGATGCTGAAGCATGAATGCACAGCCCCATGGGATACAAGATTTGTTTTTTGTTGACTTTCCAGNCGTGTACTGTGTATACTAGATGCTGAAGCATGAATGCACAGCCCCATGGGATACAAGATTCTCGTGGTGGTGATACGATCTGTACTAGATGCTGAAGCATGAAGGCACAGCCCCATGGGATACAAGATTTGTTTTTTGTTGACTTTCCAGCTTTATAATTTGTCTCCCTACACTGCCCATGCAGAGGCCCCCATAAAGGGCCACTGTTTCTTATGCTGTTCCTCCTGACATCCCTCTCTTCACTATTTTTTCACCCAGTGTAATTTTTTCCCTTCACTGTGCCCTTGGAAATAGTTGTTGGGGTGCCAATATTCTTTACACTGTTTTCCTTACTCTTACTGCTTGACTATGTGGCAGTCCACTCCTTCCTCAATCCATAGTTATTTTTCATTCCTGACTTTTTATTCTGCCCTGAAGATGGAGGCAACAGGTTCCTCTGCAGTGTTTGTTTATCATAGTAATTGATCTTAATAACTGCAGCTTTAAGAAACAGTTGCATAGTTATCTCCCTGCTGCCTGCAATATGTTATATTCTTTGAGAAATTGCTACTAAAGATGTTGCTGTTTCTTCTTTACATATTATGTCTTATTATTAGAAACAGCATTTCAAACTTGAATGTATTTCTGATTTTAGTAAATGAATGGAAAAAATAAACCCACCTTTTATTTGTTACGAATAGTTGCCTGATATTTTCAGAGTTTTGTGCTGGACCCTCTTCTCTACAGTCGCAAGGAGCTAAGTTTCCGCAGTGCAGGGTCACGGTTGAGTGGGGTTATGCCAGGCAGTCCCATGGCACGAAGGACCAAGCATGAGATCAAGTCAGCTCAGAAACTAGCTCGAAAACATGCAACATCACCTGAATTGTGGGCCAAGTGTTTGCTGACCACCTGCTACAGGTAGGTGCCCCTCCTTCTGTAGATGTTCATCGCTTTTTTCTCCCAGTGAACTCTGAAGCTCAAGGTATCGCCTGCCCTCCTCAAAACTCCCAGGTATGTGTATACAGTAAAACTGCCTTAAACGGACCCTTTATTAAATTGAATTTGTCTTAAACAGAAATATTTTCAGATTCCATGACTGCTGTTGTATGCATCATGAAATATTACAATTAACTGGTGTTGTATGATGTGATGTTTCCTTTTGAACAGCTTGTGGTTCATACATTTGCCAAGTTATGCCATGCAGTCACGATCGAAGGCTCCAGCATGTCTCCAGTCAGCATATGAATTTCTAGTCAAGATACAGAAGATGAAGTTGCAGCCCACAGACGAGGCAAGTTTATTGACTATTCATCCTTTACTTCTTCACTATTTCGTCTGAGCTACAGACAGTATTATTAACTGAACCACAAATAAACAAGAAACAGAGGCCTTTAATATAAATAGCCGTTCTTAATTTTTGTTCATGATCTCAGAATCACTGAGAAGAGTATGCTTGACTCATATTTGGGGGGGGGGCAGTTAGGGTAAAAAAAGTAAAGTTGTTCATGTATGCCACAAAAACATACGGGGGAGTGGAAGTATAGCTCCAGCATTCTTGACCTCAGCACTGGATGGAATTGAGTGGTCAACTTCAGACCCCACTGCTTTACCTCCACGGAAATTGCCTTGGTACCCATTGTATAAGAGGATTGGTGGACCCCAGAGCCAGTACGAACACTGGAGAAAGAAAAATATTTCCTATACCAGGAATTGGACCCTGTCCATCCAGCCCATAGCCTGTTGCTATACTGACTGAGCTCTTTCAGCTCTCTTGGCTAAGAGAGGGACTATCCTGACTGAGATTTTTCATAGTTTTTGTCATTCCCTCCAGAGAAACTTGATTAGAGCATCACAATTTTCTTCCAAATCTTCCTCACTTCATCTGTCATCCCACTATTTGACATTCTGTGTCATAGCTACTGACAGCATCATAAAATACTTGCAGAACTGGTTGCCTCAAAACATGATAGGCAACCACTTTTATAAAGCCCTGATGATGACTGTTTGTGCCACATCAGGTGTGTTACCGAGTGATGATGCAACTGTGTGGTGTGTACAGCCAGCCTGTGCTGGCCGTCAAGCTGCTGTCACAGATGAAGAGAAGTGGCATTCAGCCCAATGCCATCACATACGGCTTCTACAATCGTGCTGTTCTGGAGGCAACATGGCCTTCTGACTGTACGAATTCCAGTCAGCTGCTCTGGAATAAGGTTAGGTGAGTACTGTTTCCAGAGCAAGTTGAAGAAAGTAGTCACAGATGATATAGGAACTTTGAACATCAGTGACATGGAAGAGATGTGATCTTCCTCCTTCACTGCCTTCTCCTCCTTTCTTCTTGCTGTCTTCCAGTACCTGTCTAAAGCCTCCTGTCCAGAAGAGCGCTGCCTCTTCTGGGATGTGACGCCATGTAGTCTGATAAAAGTTGACCCATCTTTCAGAGGATTTTCCTGCCTCCATCTTGAGGGTCAAAGAGTAAGCAAAGCAAGTAACAAGCAAATAGAATTGCTTGTTATTCTGTCTTCTCATAGGTCTTTTTCCTTCCAATTTTAATTCTAGTTGCCCTTTCTTATCCTCATTCTGTGTGTTATATTCATGAACCACTGTAATATTTTTCTCTTCTAACTCTAGTAACAAATTTTGAATTTTGACTTCTCCAGAAATTCCTTATCTAGTTCTACCCCTTGTTTTCCCCTCAGTACTTCCCAGAAAGTTACATTTCCATTGCTTTGATTTTGCTCTTTTCTCTCTTTGTTATTGTCTTATGAGCTTCCATATTTTGACATTATATGTTAATATCAGTTTAAGATAATCTGTAAAGATTGTTGTTTTGCATTTCTTTGGCCCAGAAATATCTGGCAAATGGTAAGATAAATAATTAGATACCAAAGGAAGATGTGGGATTTCTATTTAGTAAAATTTTTTTGTTATTTGATGAAATTTAGAACTGCTTTGTTTTCTAGCAATCTTTCATTAATTTTTCCTTCTGAATTTATTTCACTTCCCAAATAAATAAATTTGCTCACCTGTTTGACCATTGTGTCATTGTTTGTGTCTGTGTAGGGTCCTTGAAAACCATGTACTCACTGCCTTAAAATGCTTAAAATTCCAGGCTTCTTTAACACTGGAATAATCTGCTTATTTCACATGTAATATTCTAGTTTGTTTTCTTTATTGTTTTGTGTTAAGTAAATATAGGATGCAACTTTGTTTTAGAGGTTATATGGTGACAACTTACTTGCACTTACAGAAATGTGATAATTGGTGTGGCCTTGTTCCGGCGTGCGGGTGTCCGACGTCGGGTTTCTGATGACTCAGTGTCTTTGGCGGATGCTACTGATGTGATCTCACATACGTCCCTGGACAGTGGCAGTTCTCATCAGGAAGCTGCTAACGTGGAAGCAGTACCACATGATCACAGTAAGATTGGTTAGTAAGAATTGAAACTTGTTGGCAGCACTAGTTCCATAACATCACAATTTTATGGACTGTTTACTTTCTGTGATATGGTCATTATACACAATATTTTGTGGGTTGGCTCTCTTATCTTCATGTGATTTACTGTCTCTATATGGTCGGATATGTGTCATTTTTATTTTTAGCCTGCTTTTCTTATCTTGAAAAAAATAAAAGTAGTCTTATGAGATCACTGTGCTGTTTTAAACCCCCCCCCCCATCAGCTTTTCAATGCCTGAACCAGTCTTTTTGAAACTCAGTATGTATGTCATGAAACCTGAGCCCATCTCAGTGACATGAATAAATGAACGTATAAGGGATGGGCCTTCTCGGCCCTTGTACCGCGACCTACAGTGATCTATTGTGCTTCCCCTTTTGATTATCCCCTCAGCAATTGTGCGCTTCGAATGATGCGCAGGATTTTGTATGTGGGGACGTCGAAATAGTCACTTGGTTCCATTAAATATTGACCCAAGTGACATAATCTTAAATAAGCTAAGGCCTCCCATTCACACAGGATATGTGTGGCTGTTTCATTTTCTTCTTGACACCTCTCACAAGTGGGACTGTCACATAGTCCCAGTTTGAAGAGGTGTCCTTTAAGATGACAGTGTCCTCTAAGTAGTCCCACCACCCATCGTAGCTGGTTCCTGTTTAACTTCAACAGTCCCTTCGCTCTTTTAGCAGAGGGTCCTTGTAAGAGTCCCTTTGCTTGCCTGAGTCCAGTCAAGGATCCCCAGTATTTCTTGTGCTTCATATTTGTCCAGTCCCTGATTGCCTTTCTGGCAACGCCTATAGAGATGCCTCAGGCTGGTTCAGGTCCTATGAATGAATGTTCAACTCCAATCTAAGCCAATTGATCTGCTGTTTCGTTTCCAGCAATACCCTCATGCCCATGTACCCATATCAGTTGTACCCTGTTATGTTTGGCCAGTTCCATGAGGGTTTGGTGGCAATCCCAGACCAATTTTGAGTTGATCTGGTGTTTGTCAAGCGCTTTAAGTGCAGCCTGGCTGTCAGAATGTAGATGTTCCTATTTCTATACTTCATAAATCACGCCTATCAGTGTGTGTATATATGTATCCCCCAATCATTGCTAAGCAATGACTGAGTACAAACGTTTCTACAACAGTAGAAGAATTGTTGGACATGTCATTTTCAGTGCAGCACGTGGCATATCAAAGGCAAGTATGTGATGAGTTCTTCCCAGAACTTCTTGTTTTTGAGATTAATAGCAACTTCTAAGTTTGGCACAGTTTTTGCCTTGTACATATATATATGAATATCATTTGTGTTTGTTTTACAGCAAACATAACTGCTAACACCATACAGCAGCAAGATTCAACAGATTATGTGGCAAGTAGGTGATGAGTTCTTTCCAGAACTTCTTGTTTTTGAGATTAATAGCAACTTCTAAGTTTGGCACAGATTTTGCCTTGTACATATGCATATGAATATCATTTGTGTTTGTTTTACAGCAAACAAAACTGCTAACACCATACATCAGCAAGATTCAACAGATTATGCAGCATTTGATCGCTTCAGATCACGTGTTGGTAGCATTGTTCGACCATCTGGTGCTCCATTGCTCACGCCAAGGACCGCTCTGCAACAGCAGCCATGTGAGTTTAGTAACATTTCTGTGGAACTTAATTTGTAATCTGCTCTCATTTTCCCACTGAAGAAGTTACTGTGTGGTTGAGATGTTGATTGTTTGTTTCTAATGCATAGAGCTTTTGCATTGAAATTTGTAAACATTTTCATGTTTTCCGAAGTATTTAGTTTATAACCTTTGGGTTTCATAAAAGCAGTGAATATCTTGACCAGATGAGTGACTTGTCGCCTTCTCTAAGAATATCCTGCACCATGGAAATAGTTCATTCATGAAGGCAAGAAGAAAATTGGAGTTTATATGTCTGTATTCCCATGAGCCCTAAGTCTGGTTTGTGTACAGCATGCACCGTCATTACAGAAGGGTTGTGTTCCTGAACATGTGCCTGTATTGTCAAATTCGTTTATGAAACTTATTGTTCCAGTGACTGTTATAAGTGGAAATGTGTTTCTGTTTGAAAGTATTTAGTCCACAGTTGGAATAAAGATGCACCATATCATTTAAATAAAGGTACCAACACTGCACGGTCTAATATAAGAAGGGCATAGCAAGCACACTATCAGCTATGCTGTGTGTTACTGACATGTGCACAGAGGCAAGCTGTGGGCCAGCTATGTACATTGCGCTGTCACTAACGCATGCACGTGTTCTGAATTTCCAAATAAATACAGATTTCTGTAACAAATTGTTTTGGCTGAATATGTTGATATTTTGCATTTCATGCTTATAAAATTTCTAATAATTATCTTAAATTTCTGTAAGAGCAGATTAATGGTTTCTGTTGTGAATTCTATGGTTCATATGCTATAATTTCCATAAGGGTGAAATTCCATAACCTAAATGTTGGAGGTTCACTGAATCTCAGTTTAAGATCTCTGATTTTCCTTTTTTGTGTTGAAGTGTCCTTGGTCTGTTTCAGTTGAAAGCAGTGCAGGCTTGCTCATGACGGGGCTTTATGATGGCCCGACTCTCTCAGAAGAGAGTGATTTGTTCGATGGGGAGGTTCCCAGTGAAGGCACTGCATGCGTTTCACCCACAAATCCAAGAAGACGAAATCGTAGTGGAAGTTGCTCTGAGTTCATGTTTGGTTTACGTCAGGGACATCTTTCAGGAGGTGGTACCTGTCAAGGAAGCCCTCAGTCACCACGGTCTTCAGATGCCAATAGACCTTCTGAGTGCCTTCGGCTACTTATCAGGTAAGGTTGAATGTCCATATTTTAATTTGGACTCTAAAGCCGACATAAAATGAGGATATCAGAACCAAAGATCTGTCATAGTAGTTCACATACCAGTACAGTGAAACCTCCATTTAATGTTCCTTGTTTTAAGATTTGCATTGGGAAATATAACAGTTATGCTGCCTGGTTTAAAATTATAGTTATAAATTACACTGATGACCTCATTGTAGGATGTAAAATTATGTTCTAAAAGCATAGTATTTGCATACTTTAAATACCATAAGTTTCAGGCATGATGTGTAGAAAGTTTTGGAAGTTGTATAACACATTTCACAAAGAAAGAAATTAATATTGTGACATAAAGGTGGAAGACTTGAATAGTGGAGCGAAAATAGATGGTCGTTGCTAGGCAGCAGCTCGATAAGCAGGTTTACATGGCATTGAAGATGTGACGCAGAAGTGTAAGAATTGTAAATTGTTATCTGTGTGGTCCATTTCATGATTATATACTGAGAACCTATGGGCTAGATAGAGTTATGAAGAAATTGTCAGTCAGTGATGACTGGAGCTGTCGAACACAGAAGCTGAGTAATCTACATTGTTGGAGCCATTACCAGGCAATGACTAGAGAAGACAGAAAAGAAGTGTGCTGTATTGAGAAGTCAAGTGTGTGAATTAGTGGGAGCATTATAGTTACTTTTACTTAACGGGCTGTAAAGAGTTGAATAAATCCAATCATCTCTTCAAACCCCATGTCTGGGCACCAACACATACAGTATTTTTCATTAAGATTGTGGTTCTCTGGGTTGTGATGCCATAGTGAGGTACCAAGTTATTGAAAGAACGCGTGCCTCCATCTGCAGGATTGAAGAGATTCTCAGTCTTGAAGATTGTCAGCACATTTCTCTGATATATTTGACCTCTGTAGTAAGCTACACACCATCACATCTCAGAAAATTGTAATGTTAATACAATATAGTGAATCTCTGTTTTAGGGTTTCATTGGCGACCAGTGGATTTGAACACTAAACCCTAGAATTTGTAAGAGGATGAGATTCAACACTGAGGTTATTATGAATGAATGTTAAGTTATGGAAGGAATATGAAATGGTGGTTTCAGTGTATTTCCCCCCATTGAAATCCTCAAATGTCATTTACTTTCCATTTTTCTGTACAAAGAAATATAGATACAATAAACATATCAAAGTAAGTATAGTACAAACACATTTAATAAAGAATTCACTGAGAGGTGTGATTCATGTTTCAGGTCTGAGAGTTTTGCGAATGATGCGCAGATACTGGATAAACTGAACCAGATCAAGCTTCACCTACCTGGTGATGCTAGTGGTATGAATGGTCGTGTTGCCCCCATTCCTGAGGGAAGGGGAGATGCAGACAAGTTTCGTGTCACGAAACCCAGTTCTAGCAGGTAACCAGACTAATGCAGTTTCATAACGTCTGCCTCAATCTGCAGCCATAACCTGCCAACCAACTCCATGGAGCCAAGTCCTTGAGTAGCCAACAGTCACTCAGCTACTCAAGAATTTCCCAGTATTGTATTTAACCCAGAGGTTCATTACCATGTTCACAAAAGCCTGCCAGCGGCCTGTATCCTGAGTCAGATGAATCCAGTCCGTACCCCTCCAGCCTTGTTTCTGTAAAATTCATTTTAATATTATCCTCACATCTAAAATTTGGTTTTCCTAATGGTCTCTCTCGGTTTCCCACTGAAATCATATATACATTCCTCTTCTCCTCCATGTGTGCTACATACCCTGACCATCTTATCCTCCTACTTATATTCATTCTCAAGCTCATCAGTTTGCAGTTTTATTCAACTTCCTGTTATTTCATCCCTCTTGGGTCGAAATATTGTTTACAATATTATATTTCAGCATCCTGTTACACTCACACAATATATATGGACAAATACCGTCTTAAGTGCAACAATTTTATTGTAGTTTTTACTTCTTTTTCCTCCTCCACACTACATGTTTCGGCCCTAAATGGCCATCGTCAGGTGTGTATTACTCACGTAGCTGTTACACTGCTTGTTAAAATTTAAAATCACCAGTCTTTCTAATTGTATAAAATCTTTGTTAATCTACACGCGTCGATTTGATTTTTAAATTAGCACTTTTTAAAACTTTAACATATTAAAGATAAGCAGCGACACACACAGAGAGCGCCTACACAGAACAACACATGAACAGCGATAAACACAAGAAGTGGCCACTGCAGCACCGTAGATATAGGGCATGTACCCTGAAAATTTTTAATTAAAAAAAATTGAAAAAGAAAGAGAACAGAGANGAAATATTGTTCTCAAGCACTTAGCCTGTATTCTTCCCATAATGTCAGAGACCAAGTTTTCATGCCCATACAGAACCACAGGCAAAATTATAGTCCGCAACCATAGAGTACAGTTATTTCGAGAAGAATTCAGTCTCACTTTTATATCACTTTTATACTTTTCTATTATCTAAACTGCTGCTTCTTCTCCTCCTCCTCCCTTCCCCCATTTTGCTGCCTCTTCTTCTCATGTTTTTTCTGTTCTTCATTCAGTTTTCACAGGTTAGGCTGCCTGGCCAGGTCTGATATAGAATTAGTTCTGAAAGTGTCAAGTTTTGTAGATTTTGTAAGCCAACATCCCTGCCACTGTTATGCACATGCAGAGCACAAAGTCGAACTGACTTACCTTGGCCATATTATAGGTGCATTCTGAACACAGCAGTGTCCTGACATTTTATTCATGCTAATATCTGTTTTTTCTTTGCTGTGGTAAACTTTCCTTTCAGAACATTTAGGGTTCTTGATGTTTGAATGTGCTGTGAAATGTTTGGCCTTTTCCTTCTCTCCTTTGTCTATCTGTTGGTATGGCAGCTGACCTTTCCTAGCAGAACCACTCAAAGGATGCTAATTCTGCATCTTCATTCCATCTATTGTAAATCTGGTACTTACCTCTCGATGTGGGACTGGTTCATCAGAGGCCATTTGCCTGCACAGGGATAGCATTTACTTACTGTCAAGAATAAGAAACTTCAGTAATCAGTACAAACATCATGAGATCATTGTTGATTTCTTGAATACAAAAAGAAATATATAAGTAGAAGAACGCTGTCTTCTGGGATGTGGCACAGTGTAGAAAATATGTTAACCGATGTTTCGGAGGAACTTATCGCCTCCATCTTCAGCGTAGATAACAAGAAGAAATCTGCGAGTGAACCAGCAGAGCAGGTGCAACAGACTGAGTCCAGTCAAGTAAACACAGCTGTATAAGAGGAGGAGAGATGGAGTGTGGCTACACAGGGAAACAGTAGAGAGGGGGAGGGGAAGGGTCTGGTGGAATAGCAAGCAGGTAGTGGGCCAGAGCTGGTATAGAGTATATGTTAGGGGGAGAGAAGGGAAGGTTAAATGGAGGTCATTAACCCTGTAGCTCGAGGGCTGCGATGGACCTGAGTGGCCTACAGGTCTGCCGTATTTTGGAGTTTACTTGAGGGAACAGATGAGAGGCTTCCATGACTTGCTGAGACAAAACCCTACCTCTGTGTTCATATTGCCGGGATGGAGTTCAATCTCAATGGCCTCCCTAATGATATGATCCATATAATGGGTCTTGGTAGTGAGGATGGAGGTATTCTGAAGCTGAATGCGGTGTCCCAAATCGATGCTGTGTTCAGCCACAGCTGACTTTAACCTTCCCTTCTCTCCCCTTAACACATACTCTATACCAGCTCTGGCTATTCCACCAGACCCTTCCCCTCCCTCTCTCTACTGTTTCCCTGTGTAGCCGCACTCCTGCTCTCCTTCTCTTATACAGCTGTGTTTACTCGACCGGACTCGGGCTGTTGCACCTGCTCTGCTGGTTCGCTCGTGAATTTCTTCTTCTCTTCTACCCTGAAGATAGAGGCGATATGTTCCTCCAAAACGTCGGTTAACACAATTTCTAGACAGCGTCACATCCGAGAAGACGGCTTTCTTCATATTCACCCCTGTGAAAACCTCAAATCTTACAAATAGATAAGTTGTTCTCATCTCCACCATTGTAGTACAATTTAAGACTTAAAATCTATGAATGTTATACAGGGTTTGTCCGAAAAGTAATGTCAGTGAGTCGATTAAAGAACTTTTATGGATTAGATCGGTGCAACACATTAAAAGGCTTCAAAATAGGCTTCTTCTGCGTCGATACATCGATTCCAGCGAGATTTCTAGGCATCGAAGGCGTCATGGCAGGCGTCCTCCGGAATGTCCTTCAGAGCCTTGGTGCAAGCCTCTTTGACTTCGTCAACTGTCCCAAAATGATGTCCTTTCATGGGAGTTTTCAAGCGCGGAAACAAAAAGAAGTCTGGGGAGCCACGTCAGGACTGTAGGGCGGCTGGGGAACCGTTGGCACCTTTGAATCGGTCAGGAAGCGGGTCACGAGGAAGGCGGTGTCGGCTGGCGCATTGTCATGGTGAAGTTTCCAATCGTCCGCGATGTCGGGCCGGATGCGATAAACCCTTCTTTTGGGTCTCTTTAGCACTTCCACGTAGAATTTGGCGTTGATGGTTGTACCATGTAGTACAAACTCACATTTTCGTCGGTGGTGCTTGTTGATGGCCGTCCAGCGCGGGCTTCATCGCCGACCTATTCACGGCCTTCTAAAAAGGCCTTGTGCCACCGGTAGACCTGACATTCCGACAAACAATCGTCACCGAAGGCCGTCTTTATCATGGGAAAAGTTTCCACTGCAGACTTGCCAAGTTTCACACAAAACTTGATGGCAATCCTTTGTTCCAAGGAGCGCTGCATTGCGGCTTGCACGGGAGACAAAAACGAGTTTCACGGAAAAGCCTTTCGTCACTCTCAGGAAGTTCGGAGACGACTAAGCGACCGCGGGTTCATAAGCTGACTTCCCTCTCCACCGAGCCCAACCGGTCTGAGAGTGCTGCGACGTATAGTCACTTCACAATAAAATAACTGACATTACTTTTCGGACAAACCCTGTAAATATGTGTATTTGATAGTTTTATAATAAGAACTGTAGTTGTTTCGAATAAGATTTTAAGTTTGGTGCTGCGAAAAGCTGACCAAGCAAGTAATCAATTCTTGCAACCTGGCAATCGCCAGAGTAAGCCAATAAACAAACTGAAATATTAACATTTTAAAGAAGATCATGACTGAACTTACATTTTTGGATATAAATAAATAATATATTTTATAAAAGAAGAGGCTAAATGTTACTCCTTTCATCTGGAGTCTGATTCACTCATATATCCCAACTAATTACCCCTCAAAAAGAAACTTTCTAAAACAAACCAGGTTACCTATGGTTATGATGATAATTTATCTCAACTTCTCTCACAGCTGCAGATGATGCACACTACCTCATAGCAAATGTCTCAAGAGTGATGAGATTCATGTGTCATAATTAGCCTCCCCTCCATTCTTTCCTGAAGCATGGGGTCAGAGTACCATCTGTTGAAGTTATTATTATTTGACATGCATGTTATCTTTGTTAAACATGTCTCAGTGTATCATGTCATTGTCTTCCCACAAAAGATTGTGGTATGTTAACATGCAGAGAATGTTAATAAAACTCACCAAGCAGGTTGGTATAGTAATAATGACCTAGGTTACTATTTAAGTTTTGAGGTTTTCACGGCGATGACAATGAAGAGAGTCGTCTTCTGGGTTTAGGCACCGTGTATTCTTCGTGTTGGCCGACGTTTCGGAGGAACGTGGCGCCTCCATCTTCAGAGCAGTTGAATGGCTTGGAATGCTACAGCTACTGCTCTCCGCATTCCAAGCCATTCAACTGCTCTGAAGATGGAGGCGCCACGTTCCTCCGAAACGTCGGCCAACACGAAGAATACACGGTGCCTAAACCCAGAAGACGACTCTCTTCATTAGGTTACTGTTTGTTAAGTGGTAAGTCTGAATCTCAGTCGAGATACCTTCTCTCCTGACTGAGTTTTGTAGTTTCTTCAGTTCCTTCAGGAAAGTGCCAGGATAGTGCTTTGATCAGATGATCATTGCTGTCAGATCACTTCCAGTTCATTGCTCACCAGTCGTTATACCACCTGTTGCTGTATAGTTTCTGATACTGACATCAGCATGGTGTAGCAGCAGTACAAACGAGTTTTATGAAGGTTTGTGATAGTAGGTGATTCATTATGCTGTAATTGTGAGGTGTATTGGAAAGTTCCCAGACTAGGTCAAAAAAGAAATGCTAGCTTAACTTACTCAGTTCATGGTGAACAATCCCCTTCATGTTGAAAAAGAAACAATGGGCATGCTCTTTTTTGAACTTTGGACCTGCTGTGACTCTTTTGCTATTGGTGATTGTGGGCTCTTCCACCATGACGAACGTTGCTTTGTTTCAGGATCGTAACCATGAATCCTACTTTCATCACCCATTATGATCCTAGAGATACGAGTAAAATTTGGGTCCTCATCAGCATTCTCTGATAGCTCAAGACACACAGTTACTTGCCACTGCTTTCGATCATTTTTCAAGAGTAGTGAACAAACTTTGCGGCAGTGCAGTTCATGTTCAAATTTTCTGTTAAAATCTCCTGGCAAACTCCGTGACTGATCCCAGTGGTGTCTGTGAGCTCATGGATTATTCAGCAATGGTCTTCATTAATGAGTTCTCAAATTTTTTCAATGTTATCTATAGTTTTGCTGGGGCTTGGTTACCCTGCACATTCGTCAACTTCAACTTACACTCAACAGGCCTTGAAATGTGAATGCCATTCAGAAACTGCTGTCTGCTTAAAGAATGTTCTCCAAAAGCCTCACAAAGCATTTCAAGGGTTTCTGTAGTGGATTTACCAGTCATCGCGCAAAACTTGATGGGACATGTTGCTCAATTTTCCTATCCATCACAGACAAAATGAAATGTGAAGTCGTAAAAGCACTTAATAATCACAGCATGGTGTCACATGGCAGACTGATGCAATAGATTTGGGGAAGTGTGAATTTGGCTTCCCCTCTCATCTTCTTTCACCAAGGCAGTTACAACCATAACAGTCCAGGAACCTTCCAGTAGCACCTCATATACTGGACATTGTCCTTGTCTGAGGTATATTTAATATACACTACATTTTAGGGACTGACCCTATTCTTGTCGTGAGGTGATTGGTTGTTATACTGACCTTTTTACTTTTTTATTTTTATGTTAATGACAGCAGTTAGAATTAACCCAGAACCTTTGGAGTAGTAAACTTCTCTGCTAAACTCCACATATTGAGGATATTGGACATAAAAGCAGTGAATCATATATGGCATTATGATGGGAGTAGAGGCAGTTCCCGAAATATGTTGTGTAGTCACAATTACAGTGAAGGAAGGACCACTATCCTGTTGTAACAGCCCTCTGTTTTGTAGATGCCTCTTTCGGCGCAGGAGCAGTTTTACTTTCCGCCGAACAAGTCGTGAGTCTTCCACGGAAAACCTGGAAGAAAGAAGCTCAGCTGGTAGCACTGATGACTTGGATTCTACAGGCAGCTGCACTCCAAAACATTCTGCCAGCAAATTGTTCTCCGGGCTGGGCGATCATGTTAGCCGTCTTAGTAGTGTGGTGTGGGAGCGATCTGGGTCAAAGGGTATGCTCGATTTTGGGTATACTAAATCCGACCTTCAGACGTATGTGAAGGCCCATAATAAGAAAAATAGCAGTTTAGATTCACTAGCCAGGGTTTCTGCGTGTGACAGTGGTGGAAGCAGTAGTGATCTAGAGGTGCTGGGTACTAAGAGGAATGGGGTGGGGGACACATTGTCCAGAATTAACAACTCCAGTGTGAGGGAGGAATATGATAGCAACTGTGATTCGCAAGATGTGATTATGAACAGGACAAACAATGTGTACGACTCACCATCCAAATCTCCAAGTTCACTATCATGTAAAACATCACCAATTCGAACACCTGTAACAGAAAATGATCCACTTGGTGCATTAGATGTGCAGGAGACTGCTGAAGCAATTAAGGCTGTGGACATTAATGGAGATCAAGCAGATTCTGGCTCAGCATCATTAAGCTCGATTGTTGCTGTGGGGATCCTGGAGCATGCAGATGCACCTGGAGGCCCAGTTCTGTTTGGTGGACACACCAAGACAAGAGGGGTTTCACGCAGTGCCACTTTTGGTCATGATTGCTCCCGTAGTGAGTGTACAGATTGTTTAGAGCAAGGGAAGTCAATGCATCGATCATCTACAATGCCTGTTGATGTACCAGTGTCCACTGCTGCTGGTGTCACCTCTGGTCTGGGGAGCATTAGTTCCGGCTTCAAGTTGTCGTTCAGGTTAGTGGTTTCATTCTGTTTTAATGGAGTAACTAATTCCCAGATCATGAGGTCTCTGTTAAGAAATCTTCCAACTTATTATGTTAATTTGTGATACAGAACAATATGAAACATATGTATTTTGAAATACAGGATGATTCACTTGGAGAAGGTTCTAAATTTGTAATCATAAAACACGCAGTAATTTACTGATGGAAACAAAATGGTCAAATACATACATTGGTAGAGTGGAGGTCATTGGGTCATAGATGATGTTAAAATTGAATCCCATTTGCTGGGAGGCACAGGCCGATGTGATGCTCTGTGTTTGCAGTTGTTGCAGCCAGTGTGGCAGGAGGGATTGCAGCAGTACAGAAGTGCCGTGAGCATGGCAGGCATGCAGGCATTGGGTCAGCATTACCGACTTTTGTTTTCATCAGTAAATAATTGTGTGATGTATAATTATTAACTTATGGTTTCCTCTGAGCAAATGATTCTGTATCTTTCTCGTTCATATGTTTTTAGAGCATAGATGTTAAAGATTTAGTTCTAAAGATCTGTCACAGTGCTGTGATACTTGATTTGAGGATGTTCGTGGGACATTGTCCACTGTCTGAAGTTGAGGTTCAGTTTTGGATTTTACCTGAAAATCGAGAATGAGCAAGTCACCAAAATGTAGTAGATTGATCTCAGCCCAGACAGTAGACAGTGGCCAGGGAACAGTCTCACACCATTTATAGATGCTTTCCAAATTGACTATGTATAAGTGACATATTGAACCAGTGGTTTGGTTCAGTTCAGATATTTCACAACTTCTTTAACAAACAGAAATCGATACATATTTTGTGAAGAGCATATCATTCCGGGATGTGATGCGGTGTAGGCTGGCAGGTGTTTCCTGTAGTTTCAAGAGGAACATAGAGTAAGCCAAGCAAATAGGCAGCAAGCAGAGTGTATATTGTTTGCTCAATTTACTCTTTGACCCTGAAGATGGAGGCAGTATGTTCTTCTGAAACACAGGTAAATTTTTACCAGACTGAATGGCGTCACATCACAAAAAAAAAAAAAAAAAAACTCTTCATAATCACCACCATGAGTAACTCAAATCTAAATTACCTGTAAGTTACCTCCATTTAAGATTTTCTTTAGTCTGGTATGAATATACACTTCTCCCCAATAAAACCTTAAATGGGGGTTTCACTGTAATTTTCAGTTTGTTTTCTGTTAACAGTTTATCCCTTGAAAAACTACTTAGTAAGGAACCCTTGTAGTTGTGTCCAATCAAACTTTAAAGCTGTGAATTAGGAGTCTGTATGCTTTAAATTAATTCAGCTTTACTAACCTGTATAGGAAGACTCCACACTCTTTTGACAATGTGTGATGTGATCATAGTTGTACATGCTTTTCATTTTTATCTGGAGATTAGGATGTTTGAAGACTGAAATAATATCAGTGGGGTTTTTTTCTTTTTTGCCACTAGAGTAAGAGGCTTAATGTTGCATGTAAATGTTATATCATTCAAATCTGATTTTGAAAACCATTTAGGACTGTGTATGCATAACATATGTATTGCCAGGCTTCCAGAATGGAAATTCATACTTAGTTTTCCTTTAAATTTATATAAAGGAATAAAATTACCGTCTTCTGAAATGTGTCACCGTGTTGTTTATTAGATGGGTACTGATATTTAGAGAAGCCCACACACCAAACTACAGTAAACTTTGGTTATCTAAGCATCAGGAATTCTCATCCAACTGGCAGAAGTGTCAGACAAAATGTACCATTTTTGTATAGTTGTTCCAAAGAAAAAAAAATTCCCCTGCATGTATGTTTATCTGCCACATGATAGTTCTTCAGTTACTAGTTTCAGTGCAACACATCATCCACCCCTCACACAGGTGCCAGTACAGTAGAGGCTAGTTGAATCTGTTACTGTGTTACAGCATATGTATCTGATATCTTTCACCCATCAATCTGTTAATGTCACTTAGGAGGTCCCCAATGCAAGGACTGAAGTGAGAATGTGTTGTTTTGGTTCCTGTAACAGTTCACCTTATGCAGCTGGCAGTTTGATGTAACCAACAGACCCCATTCCCCTGCATACCGCATGATAGGGAGTTTACTGCACCCCAGAAGAGTAATGTTGTTAGTGATTTGAGAATCTCAGATTATCCATTGAGGGAAGTTTCTTGAAAGAACAAAGTTTTATATCTTTGAAGCTTTAAATTGTATAATATCAAGGAAAGATTTGTTTAAAATAATTGATATGAAAAATGAACTGCTGTGATGGTGTACTATTGTAGTCTATTGTATTACAGCCTTCTGGCTTGTGAGACCATGTGATGTTGTAGGTGAATACCATTGTTTTACTGAAACATGCTGCTACCATCTGCAGTGTTGACTTTTGAAGGTGGAAGTCATATGTTCCTCTGAGGCATCAGTGTCCACATACAAGATTACACGAACTGACAGGCCAGAAGACCGCATACTGAATATGAAAATTACTGTCATCTTGTATGTGATATCATGTACTGAGGTAGAAACTTATCAGTTTTTCTGGGGAAGGTGCCTCCATTACACCATAGTAGAAGAGTGCTGTGATGCTGGGGGCAGAAGATTCCTCCAGAACGCTGGTAACTTATCGCACCTTGGAAGACAGTTCTCTTCATAGTCATCACTATGAGGACCTCAAATCTTACATATTTACATATGCATTATGATTGATTTATGGCTTGTTGAAACACTAGGTACCTGCATGGTTGTTATATAGTAGTTACAATAACCACAACAATAGTTCCTGCTCGCTGACCTACAGATTCTTCAAACCGAGAAGCAGAATTAATGGGGACATCAACTGCTCTTGTTATATATTAACAGCTGCATCACTTCTGCTCCACATTGAAATGTTCTTAAGGGGACTGAATCATGAAGGATGTGATGGGTGTTACATGTAGCATGTGTTGGGGGAAAATAAATGTGTACAGAATTTTGGTTGAGAAGTATAAAGGAGCCCACTTGGAAATGTAAATATAGATGGAATGCTAACACCAAAATAAAAATTACTGTCTTTGGGGGTGTGACAGCAGTTAATCTGGTAGATCATCACCAGTATTTTTATAGGGACCAGCTGCACGCATATTCTGGCAAGAAGATGAATGCACTTGGTTGATCTGAAATATTGGACAGATAAATTGTGTGTATGAAGTAGATTGAACTGGCTTGGGATGGAATGTGATGGTGGGCATCTGTGGACATGTTGATAATCTTTGAGGCCTATGGCAGAGAATTTCTGGACCAGCCAAATAACTGACATAGCAAGAAAAGTCTCAAATTGTTTACGGTTGGGTGTCTGTTCATTGGGTCGGTCATTTTGTGGGTGCATGGTAAAAAGGCTAAGCAATTGATGTCCCTATAGTACCAGTGCAGCCACCCAACATCATGAAGAGTGCAGGTAATGATGTTTGCTGTAATTGCACAGTCAGCCACTGAGCAGCACAGGTTGCTAACAATACTGTCTTGCTTGGTTTATTTTCCGTTGCAGCCGCTATTCCCCTGCTCGTCTTAGTCTGCGCAAAGCAGATCTTCGCATCAACACTCAGATCATAGGGAATGCAATCACTAACTTCAGGTCAGACATTTGCTAATACCCAGCATATACCAGCCAACAAAATTTCTTCACTTTTGCATGATTTTCTCTTGTTCTCTCTGGCTTTTTTCTTTTTTGGGAGGGGGATTTTATTGCCTTGGGCTTATTTTAATGTTTCAGTGACATTCATTTGTCTGTGGCAGTGTAGGATAGACAAGAGTGCTGCAGTGTTTTTGTACTTCTCAAGTTATACCTGTCACATATGAACACCTGTCTCACAGACTAAAGCCCCTTTATGATAGACTGAAAGATTTTCATATGCTTAATAAGTATGACATTCATTCCATACATGCAGAATATGTGTTATTGTCTTAAGGAATTTGCTTTCCAAGTGAAAGCAGTTTGAAGGAAACTGTGGCCTATCCAATGTTCATAAATATTTCTTCCAGTATAATTTCTGTTTATATGAGACAGATGAAAAGTATCCAGTGTATTAGTTTTTCTCAGATCCTTTTTTATTTCTTGCCAGTTCTCTTCTCGCTGTCTTGCCATACCAGGCAAAACCACCTCAATCTGGATTTTCCCATAGGGCCCTTTCCTTTAAATTCTAATGACTCCTCTTACCCTCATTATCTTCATTCTTTTTATGTGACCAAATCTTTATAGTTATTTCTCTTCTCTGATAACAGATTCTGGCCTTCAAAGAGAAAATACTGTAGCTGTTAAACAGCAATTATGTTATGTGTACAGCAGTTGAGAAAGCGTTGTTAAATAAAAATTATGGGATATTATATGTTGTCAGCCTTGCAGCCATGCCGTATAGTTTCCAATATTTTGGAGGAATGTATCACCACCATTATCAGGATAAAAATATAAGCTAAGCAGGAGACCAGCAGAAGCAGGCAGCAAGCAGAAGGTTAAATACCAGAAGACCACATTCTTCATGGTCAGTGCCAAGAGAACATCAAATCCAAAAATTCTTCTTTGTTTTAATTCTCAGATTTATATGTTGCTACAAGCCGGAAGGTCGCGGGTTCAAGTCCCGATGAGGTCATTGGATTTTTTTTTCAGTTGACCTAATCCTTCCAGAGGCACTAGGCCCTGGGGTTTACTCAGCCTCTAACAGAAATGAGTACCAGGAATTAAATAATTTTCCTGTGGAGTAAAGCGAGGCCGGTGCGTAAGGCTGACAACCTTACCCCCATTTTTGAGCAGATTGTTTAGATAATGTGGGACCCTCAACGTCTCAAAACCCTATGGGCCTTCACAGCCTGGTACAGGGATAGCTTTACTTTACTTTTACTTTCCTATATGTTGGAAGCTTAAAAATTGTTTTGCAAAGTTAGGGCACTAGTATGAAGTGGGGAGCTGCAGACTCTGTTACTGCTGTAGCCTCATGCCTTTTTGGAGTGATGATTAGGTGCACGGTCACCATGTACCAAAGAAGTGACTCTCACCTGTTTAGTTTGCATGCAGTCAAAGTATGCGTGTATCTCACACTTCTGCTGTAGTTGAATGCCCAAAGTTATCACATAACTCAAAAAATATTGTTACTCCTTTGGTTTCACTTTCTTTAATTTTCATTTTAAATAATATTATGCAATTTTAATAGCATTAAGCATACCTGTTTTTGAATCGTTTTGAAGACATGTTCTTTCATATTTGTTAGTCTTTGTTGAAATAATTAATAAAAAAGTTCATACAAAATCATGTTGAAATTTTCTTAAGTCAGTATCTAGTAAGTCAGGGGATACCTGGACATATATTTGGGAAGTTCTAAGTTTGAATCGGGCCACATTTCCAGCTGTTCTGTCTGAGGAGTTTTTTTCACTCTCTCATAGCTAATTCAGGGATTCTTTCTTGAGATAAGTTATAACCATGTCCTTCCAAATCCTTGCCTAGTCTGTGTCTCTGGTTATCTTCCCTCTATCTTGACTTCTGAAGCATCAGCTTTAAATATTTTACCAGTCAGACAGTGTTAATATAGAGACAGGAAGCTGCTGGTTGGTTAGCAGTCCCTGTCAGGTGCAGCTTCTAATGTTAATTGATGTAAGAAATTTGATGTTGCAAAGACAGGTGCATTGTTAGTGTAACTTGAGAAGAACAACTGGTATGCAATACTATTAATGTTATGAATGTAAGTGTGGTGCAGCCCAGTGCAATATTCATTATTTAAAATGCTCATCAGCTATTATGTAAGTTAATTCCCATAAAGCTGTGCATGTCATGTCACTTCACCAGAGAGAAGGGATCTCACAAGACAAATACTAGTTACAGAGCAATTTGACTGAAGCCATGACATTTCTAACTTTTTTTTGGAGGTGCCCAGTTTGAATCTTGCCCAGGACATGGGCTCACTTGATTGAGGTTTTCATGGTTTTCTTCACTGAGTCCCTCCATACATGCTGGGATAGTACCTCAGTTTAGGCTACAGCCATTTCCTTCCACCCAAAAATTAAATGTGTCAGACAACTTGAAGAGTTGATCCACAAAATGAAATTTCATCCTACTCTGTGAAATAGTTTAGAAGGTGAGATATGCATATGAATTGACATGACCCTTCCATTGTGCTTTCATTTTTTGCACTTTCTGCAAAAAAACACAAAACTGCTACTGAATTTGCTGGGGTTAAGGTTTTGACAGCAGTAACTGTGGAGAGTGCTATCTCCTGAGATGTGATTCATGTAGTCTGGTAGAAGTTTATCATTGTTTTAGAAGAACATTCTGCCTCCATCTTCAGGGCCAAAGAGCAAGCCAAGCAAACAGCCTTGCAACCTTCTTTTTGTAGGTTATTTGCTTGCCTTACGCTTCAAATCTGATGATAGAAGCAGTGTGTGCCTGCAAAACATTGAACTTCTACCAGACTACATGGCATCACATCCCAAATGCCACAGAATTTACTCATCTTGCAGTCTTCTGAGATGATATGCCCCTGCTGCTTCTATCTTCTACTCTGAAGATGGAGGCATCTGGTTCCCTGGAAATATTGCTACCAAACTACACCATGTAACATCCCAGAAAACTGTAATATTTGTATTTACTGCTGTGAGAACCCTAGGTCTTCTGTGTTTTCGATCAGGTTTTAGAATGAAATTCTCGTGCAGTTCACTTTGTCTTCTTACAGTAGGTACATGATTACTCTTAGTGGCTGTAACTTCCTTTTGGAAATTCTAAAAGTTTTAAAAGGAAGCCTCTTGCATCTTCCCACTGCAGTTCTTGTTTCAACAAGATACGGTTGGTAAATCTTATCCATATATGTGTGTGTTTCTGTAGTATGCAAGTTGTAGAATTGTATTTTGCATGTGAATGGCTTTGTTTTTTATATATTGGTAGCTTAATGTAAAGTTATATGTGTACGTACAGATTTTTCCTTATTCTGTTAGTGTATTATTTATTCCTAAGTTTTATATAGCAGGTTTGTCATGTTATGTTGCCATCATGCTGAACTTTGCAGAGTTGAAACAAGCCATTTCTCTTTCCAGTAAGGAGGTTTCATTTGTATTAGCAGTGGTGCACCATAACAAAATCTCTCTTCATGGGACAGATTGTTACAGAAATTTGGGAATAACAAGTTTAAATAAGTACAGCTTTTTATTTGTGTTTAAATTTCTGAGTTGTGTTAATCACTGATACAGAAAATTGTTCAAAGTATCCTGCCCATCTCCCGCATCTGTGTACCAAGATCTTTGTAAAAAAAATGCTGTCAGTGTTCAATGGAGTATAATTTATGGCCACATTTTCGGCAAGCATTGTAATGTGAATAGAATGAACTGTGATTGCTTCATCATGACAAACAGTAAGAGTAAGATCATTGCAACATTAGGTTCATGTGACATGCCATGTGAGACCCACCTTTGTTTTTAGCCCCAGCAATTTGACAAGCAAGAATGAATTGCTTCGAGGTGGGCTTAGTACTCTGAAGTCAGCAGGAAATTTGGTTGCCAAGAAATTTGATGAAATCAAGGAGGCTATTTCTGCCAACAACACACCTGTCAAACCAAGTCTAGGGTAGGTACTTCATTGCATTTGTTTTGTTGGTAGCTCAGAAACATTTGTATATTATATGTCTTCAGCAGATGACAAAACTTACATCAACAATAAAAATGGTTCAGTTAAATCTGTAGCCAGTATCCATGTGCCCCATACTTCCACATTACAGAAGGGATATATTTTTTGAAAATATGTCTATATTGTGAGATTCCATACCATGAACTGTTTCTATTGTTGACTCTGCTGTTGTGTGTGTGGATATACAGTTTCATGGAAATTTTTGTGATTCACAGTTTCAGTAATTTTTTATTAACATTTTTCTCTAGCACTTACACTTATGCTGGCCACGCCATAGCTCAAGCGGTTAGATAGACTTGAAAACATTCTGACGATGGTGTATACTATACTTATTTTGGCTTATTTTGGACTTCACCCATCGTCCGGTATATAAAAGACAAAAAACCACGACGTTTCAGAGACTGGATCTGTGGATCTGGACCAGTGATCCAGTGGTCCAGTGATTGAGACTAGCTCTTTCTAAGGGGCCCAACTGAGTAGGTTTAACCTTCCCTATCCACCTGAAGACGGAGACAGATCCAGTCTCCGAAACGTCGTGGTTTTTTGTCTTTTATATACCGGACGATGGGTGAAGTCCAAAATAAGCCAAAAGAAGTACTCAAGCGGTTAGTCGCAGGCTTCCCACCATGGCAGCCCGGGTTTGATCCCAGGTCTGGTCAAGTGGGATTTTTGGTGGACAAAGTGGTGCTGGGGCGGGTTTTCTCTGAGTACTTCAATTTCCCCTGCCAATCTTCATTCCACCAAATTCTCCATCATCATAATCAACAGGGGCAGGCTACAATAGGCCAGTCAGTGGCTGCCATGCCAAGTGGACCCAGTTGGACTCCACCCCCCTCTAAGCGAATTGCACTTATGCTTTATTGGCACAGTGGTAACTCTGTGGCTTATATTCAGGAGGTACTTACTTACTCCAGGAGATGAGCCCTTCTTGAGGAGCTGCCAATTCTGCAGCTACTTAAGAATTTCCCAGCATTTTATGGAACTTGAAGGTTCATTACCATGTTCACAAGAGCCCTCCACTGTTCCCTATCCTGAGCCAGGTCAATTCAATTCAATCCATACCATCCCATCCTATCTCTCTTAAGATCCATTTTAATATTGTCTACCCACCTACGCCTTGGTCTTCTCAGTGGTCTCTTTCCTTCTGGCTTTCCCACGAATATCCTATATGCATTCCTTGTCTCCCCCATAATTACAAAATTTTCCATCTTACTGATGAATGCATTATCATTATGTGCATATGTTTTGTTTCATGACAAGGCACGGACGGGTGAGTGGTGAAGCAGAGAATCTGTGCTGTGAGGAAGAACCTACAGATGGAAGCAATGGGCCTGAACGGCGTGTTTCAAATGAATTTGTGCCGCTGACAGTACATCAGCATTTGGACCACTTTAGTGCCAACATTAAGGATCTGTTTGGAGATGGTAGCCGTAAAGGGAGCTCCTCCAACTTGCAGCCCCTCGATGAATCTGGTAAGATGCTGACCATTTTAGTAAACTTAGTGCTATCAACGTGTGAGAGATGCCAGGTTCTCTTGGCACTCAATTTTGTTTTTAATTGAAGGCTTTTATATGCGTGTGTGAAAAATGTAAATTTCAGTACTTATATTTCTGTTTCCATCATGCATCTTGAGCCAATGATGAAACCAGAGTATTTTCTGTTCTAACCACCTGACATTTTGCAGACACATGCAGAATGCTGTGATTGGCATTCACAGCTGCCCAGTATATTCATTATTAATACTGCCTAAATTTTGAAACGTTTTTGAATGTACATCATACCTTGAGTAGGCATCTTTACAGAAGAAAAGTCCTGTGTCTTCAACAAGATCTCCAGCACCTGCATTATGGGTTGGATATGTTCTCAAAAATATGTCTGTATTGTGAAATTTCTAAAGCAAACCATATTTTTCCCATCTGCTCCCATATCGTAACTGAAGGTGCATTCATACTGAAATTTTTTCAGTGTGCAGCTATAATATTGCTTTTAGCCATTTAAGATGATTCAGTGGTGAACGTTGATCCTGTTTTGAGTGATGCTATTGTAACGTGTTTGGATTAGATACTTCCGTGGTCACGCAATAACAGTGAGCTGTTGCGTAGGAATTGCAGAATCAACAAAGCAGCATTTCCCCAGAGATGTACAACAGAAGGCCGTTGAGTATCAATGGATGAGATGAAACATGTTACCAGTGTATAAAGAGTGTTCCCGAAGCAACAGATTGCCGAACACGTGAGATCAAACTTTGGCGAGGGGTGTCTACTGAGTCCGCAGAACACCTACATAAGCCGAGAACCACAGACATACAACACAGTTGGAACGTAGACACCATACGATACAGACAGAAGACAGTTGAGATCCAGCCACGGCCAAGGATAGTTAAGACATCGCATTGAAGTATTAGGCCAGAAGTCACGTGATACTGCAAGTGATAACGATTGTACGGTGTTTAAGATTGAGTGTCCAATAAAGATTCGCTAAATCCGAGGCCCACGTGAAGTTATTTGTCACGTGACATACCCAACACGTGACACTATTGTGTGGATGTGGGCTGTGTTGCAAACTTTTTCATGGAACGTGCTGCCTCCATGATCCTCCTGTCTTTCCTCCCTGTATATCAGGTACTGTTTTCTTGCTTGGCTTAGTCTTTTACTCTCATGATGGAAGCAGCAGGCTTCTCCAAAACATTTGTAACGCACCTCACTTCCACACAATGCCATTGCTCAGAAGCAGGTTCAGCATCACCATATGCTACAATGTTACCTTGAAATAAGCCATGACCACTTCCATCCATATCCATTCCAGTTTTATCATACACAAACATACACACTCGAGAAAGTGTTGTTAAACAAAGCGAGAATAAATTAAGTGTATCCCAAGATCCGTAGTTCTTCTATTGTGGCCCTGAATCAAACTCAGTTTTATACTTCCTAATAAAATTGCTTTAATTCTGTGTACAGGCCCTACACTGTGGTGTCAATTACAGCTGATTTCTGAACAGTTGTACCCACGAGATGCTGCCATCAGGTAAGACTTATCAATGTTAATAATTCTCTTCATTGACACAAACACAAAAGCATACGATGGGGTACCCAAAAGAAACCGAACTAATTTTTTTGTGGGCAGAGCTTCTGTAGTACCGNAATTGTGGAGCTGTCGGGAGTGACTTGGAGCTCAGTTCAGCGAATTTTGACAGAAGATTTGGGAATGAAAAGGGTGGCTGCGAAATTCGTGCCACGACTGCTGACTGCTGAACAAAAAGAAGGTCGCGTGGAAGCATGCTGTGCTTTGAAAGAAGAGTCCCGAAATGATCAAAACTTTTTTTCAGCGTTTTGCTGATGTTGCTGAGGTGAAGGAAAAAAACGACGGAGGCGCTGTCAAGCATCTCAAAAGATTAATTTAGACAATGTTTTGAAAAATGGAATAAAAGGCTAGACAAGTGTATTAGTGTAAGTGGAGAGTACTTTGAAGGGGATTGAAGGTTTGTGCTTAAAATTTGAATAAATAAGTTTAAAAAAAAATAAGTTCGGTTTCTTTTGGGTACCCCCTTGTATTATGCTGCATTTGTGTTGAACATCATCAGTTGTCTGATTTATATTTGACAATAGTGAAAAAAGTATGTTGAGTTGATCAAGAAGTCATTTCTTGTGGTATCCTCATCCTTCACCCTCTTTCTTCCTTTTCTTTATCCATTTCTTACCTTCATTTCCTTCCTTTCATCATCTTGCTATCCAGTATTAGGCCCATTGAGACCTGACATGGATATTACAAGACAGAATCCTTCCTTGATCTCAGAGGCCTTCCCAAACTTCGTTCTCGTTTTGGTTGATATGTGACATCAGAGCACATCCTATCAGTGTGTTCTCTCCAGTTGCTTTTGTTTTTCCCTTTAATTCTGCTATTCATGTCCTCTCTAAATGAAAATTGACGTGGCTCAACAGTTTTTCATAAAATTGTCCAATATGAAATTTCATTAAAATAATCCAGTGGGTTTTGTATTATTCGATGTGTGTGGATGGATGGACTAGGCGAACTTAGAAGGTGTTCTGCAGGACTGTAGATGCTCTTAACGACCAATAAAATGTCATTCAGATAAAGCTATCCCTGTAACAGGCCATAGAGGCCCATAGGGTTGTGAGACGTTGAGGCGCCCACATTTTGTAGACAGCTCACAGATGGTGGTGAGATTGTCAGCCTTATGCACCAGCTGCCCTTAACCCCCAGGAAGATTCCTGGTATTCATTTCTGTTAGAGGCTTTGTTGACCCCAGGGTCATAGTGCATCTGGAAGAATTAGGTCAATTGAAGAAGTTTGATGACCTCATCGAGAATTGAACCTGTGACCTTCTGGCTTGTATCATAGTGCCTCAACCAACTACAGTACTGCGTGTCCTAAAAATGTTCATTGTGGTGAAAACCAACTCCCAAAACACTGTATGATTAAAATGTACCTGACAGAATGGGCTGAGTCTAGTATACTTATGGAGTAATCAGTTGACCTCTGCAGGATATAGCTTTCTTTTTTTTCTGACATCAGTGAAACATGTTTATAGGGATCATCGTGCCCCAGTTGCACTGGAGCTTATGTTGACAACCTGTTCAAAGTGCCATAATTGCTCATCGGTGTTGCATGATGAGGAGATCCTAGCTGGCTGGGCCCCTGAAGATTCAAACCTAAACACAAAGTGAGTTGATGCTATGAGTAACAAATGCGACTTGTCGTGTTTCAGCCTTCCTGCTCCTTTGGGTTTCCCTCAAGGTTTCCTGATATAGTGTCCATGTAGTTGCCCATTTCCTCGTGTGTGTTACATGGCTCTGCATCTCATTATGTGAAGGAGTTGTGTTATTGCTCAAGTAATTACTGAAGACTTCTCACTACTGAGGCCTGGGTTCAGTCCCTTCTCAGTCAGTGTGGGATTTGTGTTGGGACACAAGACTGTGATCAGATTTACGCAAGAATTTTAATTTTCCTGTGCATGCCACCATTCTAGTGTTTAGTTTTTTTTTTTCTCTTTTTAAGGATTATTATTTTGGCATTATAGGTTAGTATCAGTTTAAAATGTGTTTTATAGATTGCTATTTTGGGATATCGCTGTGCCATAAAAATCCTTTTTAATGTAATAAAATTTAAAACTGTTGTGTATTCTTCTGTTGATTACTGTGTCAGGTTTACCCTGAAATGTTTTCACTGCCCAAGTAATTAAATTTATCCATCTGTTTAACCATTATGTTACCTTTTTTTTCTGACATTGATGTCCAAATTCCTTGAAATCTTCATAGGCATCATCTTGTGCGTATCGATTTTCAGTCCATATTCCTTTCGAAGATTCTATTGACCTAATTGCTGTTTGGCTTCCATTTCATCTTTCCCTCAGATAAACATGTTCAGTACTAATGTTAGTGAGTGACCAAACTAAGATTAAACATTACCTCCATATTTGCGGTTAGTCACTGGTTTCACACCGCGGTGGCCTGGGTTCGATCCCGGGTCTGGTCAAGTGGGATTTGTGGTGGACAAAGTGGCGCTGGGGCAGGTTTTCTCCAGGTACTTCGGTTTTCCCTGCCAATCGTTCCACCAAATTCACCATCATCATGATCACGCGGGGCAGTCTACAATAGGCTAATCAGTGGCCGCCATGCCAAGTTGACCCACTAGGACTCCACCCCCCACTAAGCAAATAAAAAAAATTACCTCCATGTTTTCTGCAACATTAGTGCTGTACCAACTTTGGATGTTTATTTGTAATAACAAAATCCAAAGCATAACCTTAAAATGTTTAGTTTTTATTTTCAAAAACTAAATGAAAGCCTAGATTTTATGGACTTGTTGAAGATGAATTTTAAGCCTGGGCTTTGGGCCTTGATTTTACAAGTAAACTAAGGTTTGTAAGGGCTAATGCAGTGGACAGCATGGCAGTAACTTCTGAAGTTAGTGGGGTGTCTTGCTTTTATGTAAATACTGCACATTATCTCCACACCAGATCGCTCACTCTTCTCCATCATCTTCATTAGCATTAAACTGTGTCATGCCTTTGAAAAGTTTGTCGTATTATGAAGTTGTATTGTCAAAATCATTTGATAGATTGAATATTGTTCATATATTTCACTTTCTGGGAAGTGAAAGTGTAACATTTGAGTTACCAGTGTCACCTGTTTCGTTGTTCAGGTGTCAGTTCTGCGGGAAAGCCACTGTGCCATTCCTGACCGTGAACGTGATAGATTATCGGGCACAGCCTATGATGGAACACACTAGCAGCCAAGAAAGTGTGTCACAGGTGAAAGGGCAGATGTCTAACTTTGGTGAGCATGCTATTATGAATTATTGCCATTCCATTCATATCAGTCATTGCAGGTTCAGAATTGATCTGTTTCCACATGCTGTGTTTACCTGAACAAAATGTGCACCTTCTTTCTCCATATTTCTTCTGGAACATTTTGTATACTTTTTATTCTCACACATTTAGTAAGTTTTCTGCCACCTCATGTCTCTAGGAGACCTCTGAGCTAAATTAGGCAAAACGTTTCCCGCCCAAGTAGTTTCCAATGCCTCTGGTATATGGGGGAAGTATCAGGTACCGAGGGCCGACCTCATTGGCTGAACGGCGCCGATAGCATGCACCAGTACCGGTAGGGTATGGCGACTGGGAGATTATCAAAGGGGCACGTACAATAGACTTTTAGTCGCGGTGCATGGGGAAACCCACCCCCTCTAATAATAATAATAAAATAATAAGTTTTCTGCCATAGGTACAAGGACTTCTCTTCCAAGATGTAAATGGGCTAAGGTGTGAAACTGACTGCTCATCTATTGCTGAGGTTAAGAATGCTATGGAGGTATACCTCCACTCTCCCATTCATCTCCATGCTGTGATACTTATGTCCATGATATTTAATTAAGCAAGGGACAGCTTTGTGTGTGTAAAGCAGATCTTTTCTTAATGTTCAAGTCTTCCAAATTTGAGAATGAGATTTTGGGTAAATACGGTATTTGTCATATCCAGTTCATAATTTAGAGACATCTTTTCGAGATGTTTTCTTTCTTTCCTTTTTGCAGATAACTGTTTCATTAAAAACACAACACAGTTTCCTCTTCTTTCTGTACACATTTGCCACCTCTGTATCCAACATTTGGACTCACTCAGCAACCTTCCTTGAGTGGTATTTTTCCCCACTCAGAAGTCCATATCTCATATTCGGGTTTGGTTTGATATTGTCCCTCAAAGTGAATCATTCAAGTGAGATTTAGGTTGTTATCACATTTACATGAAGATCGTTGTAATCTGGGACGTGACACTGTGTAATATTGTGACATGTAGGTGTTTCTAGGAAATGGATTGGCAAACAGCTTTCCGTAGAGACACGATTCTTGGACACAAACCATCACTAGATGTTAAACATGTCCACGAATACAGGAATGGAAGGTAAACTCTTGGAAAACGGTTGCTATGGAAACAACGAACACTTCTTAGGAAATGAGCAAGCAACAGACATTTTCCTAGAATACCATTGCTTTATATAAGCGGCTATTCAGATAATAAGGCATTTGTAATGTTGAAGGAAGCCTAGAAGAGAAAGCAGTTGTAGTCCAGGCAGAATGAAGTGAGTCTCAGGCAGTCATTGATTGTGATTAAGAGAGATTGTAGGCATCAATAAATGCAATCACCCATTATTATTAATCACGGAGTCATAAACTCGTGACAGTATGATAGATTATTGATGTTTTTCATGGAATAAGTTGGTGTAGTTGTAATGTGCTAGGCTTATATTTGGGAAGTACTTCGTTTGAATCTTGATTAGGACATTGGCCATTGACTGATATTTTTGTTATTTTCCTCAGTTCCTCCAGGTAAATGCCTGGATGGTGCCTTGATTATGCCATGACTGTTTCCTTCCAATTCATCTATCATCCTGCCATTCAACATATTATAGTCTAGCAATTTATGCCGATAAAATAACACATGGAGAAACAGTACCAATATTTTGGAGGAATGTAGAAGATGGAGGCGAAATGTTAGTAAGCATATACCAGTCAACATGGCATCACAGCCCAGAATACAATAGTCTTCATGAATCTTTCATTTTTGGGAATGACTAGAAGCCAGACAAGTGGAAGGGTGACACTATGTCTGGTGAACAACTAAACTCTGCATAACTAAGTCCATGGTGCTGAGTTTTTAACAGTTGTTGAGGTAGTCGAGAAATCTGCTGCCTTTTATGGAACGTGAAGGTTTTTTACCATTCTCAACTCCTTTTTACTGAGATGAAGTCCATCATGTTGCTCTAAAATAAAGTTCATTTAAAACATATATTTTGAAATCACCGTCGTTCCACACAGTCATCCGATAGTTGAGGCAAGTTGAGATTTACATGGAGAATACTCATAGTATAGGGACAGTGTGTCACAGGTTGTCCAGTTCTTATTGTCATTGTCGTCATAGAAATATAGTGCTTGGGCTGTGCGTTGGAGACCAGGTAATCATTGTTTGATTTCCATCACTGGAGATTTTTTTCATCTCCACAACAACCAGACTAGCTCTGTGGTCAACATGGCTTCCTATGCAGTGAGCACTAGGGGCTCTTTCCCTAGGGGTTAAGCATATGGACCTCATTCATTCCTGAGGTTAAGAATGAATTAAGCTATATCCCCACTCCACCATATGGTATGATGTTTGTTTAAGGACAACGAATTTACTTTAACTCTACTCAAAATATGACTTTCTTTGCCTCCTTGAGCTTAATGTTTTCAGTTTCTGGAAGTAAAAGTTCTATTCAAACAAATGAACAAAATTTGTCTTTTAAGTCAGAAAACAAGTGGCTGCTTCTGTGTGTTGCAGGTAGTAGTACTTCGTCTGTTGATGGGGATTTGACAGGTCAGACAGCAAAACCCCATGAGCCCAGTGACATGGAGCAAGATGTTAAGGTATGGCTTGTGTTTTATGTCATGTTACGAATCTGTGTAAGGTTGTATAAAAATTTGGACACAGATACAGAATGTCATTTTTGGATTTGTAGCCCTTCTGTCCAGTTTATATCATTCTGTCAGCTCCATTGATGTCAACGCCAGTAATGGAACTAACCCATGAGAAGCGGCCTCTGTAGTCTAGAGGTAACGTTCTCACCTCATGACTCATAGTACGCAGGTTCAAATACCCGGCGGAGGTCGTCGAATTTTTAAGGGCGGAAAAATTCAGGGAACAAGTCCTCCGGGAGGGACTTTAAGCCGTGGGTCCCGTGTCGTAGCTTTACGGCACATAAAAGAACCTCATATCTCCAAAGGAGGTCACTGAGCCAAATTACGGACGTTTCCCGCCCAACAACAGTCTCTAATACCTGTGGTAGATGGGGGAAGCATTATAGATACCTCTCAGCTAGTAGAGCCGGTCTCGCTGGCTGGGCGGGACTGATGGTAAGCACCAGTACTGGTAGGATATAGAGACTGGTAGAATATCATAGAGGGAAGCACAATGGACCAATACAGGTCTAAGTGCAGGGGGACACCCACCCTCTCCAGTCCAACAGTAGTCTCTAACGCCTCTGGTAGATGGGGGAAGCATTGAGATACCTCTGAGCCAATAGAGGCCGAACTCGCTGGCTGAGTCAGAACTGATGGCACGCACCAGTACCGGTAGGGAATAGAGACTGGTAGACTATCATAGGGGGACGAACAATGGACCAACAGTTGGTCTAAGTGCATGGGGAAACCCACCTTCTCCATTAGGCACATTTCTCCTCAGCACCCTGTTCTCAGACACATTTGGTTTATGGTCCTCTCTCTCAGACAGAGACCAAGTTCCGCACCCCCTTACAAACCAGTGGGTAAAATTACAGTTTTGTGTATTTTAATATGGATTTTTAAATAAAACTTGAGAAGATGAAAGACTGTGAGGTATCAGGCATTTCTCGTATTTAGTATACTTTGTAAGATTACTGTCTTCTGGAATATGATGTTTTAATAGTTCGATAGATACCAACATTTCATACGTAGCCATCTGCCAGTCTACATGCTGTCACATCTGGGAAGGCAGTAATCTTAATAGTCACTACTATGAGAAGCTCAGATCTCACTTCATCTACACTTGATCTCACATTAATTATTGTTAGGGGAATATGATGTGGTGAGATGGATTGAACTGGCTTGGATCCTGCAGGAGGTTTGTTTGTTACTGGTGCTGAATATTTGGGATCTGTTAGGAATGTCAGCCAGCAGTCATTTTTACTCATAAAACTTTGTGTTATGGAACATGGTGATATGAAGATGGTGGCACTTATTGCAGGGACTGCAAGCAGAACGAACACCAGTGGACCTGGAGCCCATCACAGTGCCGTACCTCAATCCCCTTGTGCTACGCAAGGAATTCGAGAACATCTTGTACAATGAAGGAGACACCTGTCTCACCCAGCCTCGGTTTGTGGATGAGCATCCAATCATCTTCTGGAACATGGTGAGAATATATTTGACTACTACTGTTTGTTTTCTGTATTTATTTAATTAATAGCATATTTACAGTCTACTCTTGTTAATATGAAATAAGTAAATTTATTCCAAGTACATGTCTTGAGTAGAGAAGGCATCCACTGATGATACTCTGACAGGCCCTGTAGAGGGATGATGATGGTTTCAATCTTCATCATCTGCGGGTTGTGGTAGGTCAGACGACCACTGTCTCCTCAAGTTTCTTCTTACATTTGGTGTGTGGCTAATTTCTACAGCTAGTCTGTTGTTGTGTCCAAGTATGCTTTGATGGTAGAGTGTTGACAATCTATGTATTTCTTCTATGACAAATGGGATTTGCAGATCATTGTGGATAGTAAAGTTGGAGACATACCAACATGCTTTAGTTACTGAGCACAAGAATTTGGATTGAAATCTGTGAATTATTTTTGTTTGATGGTTTTGTACAGCCCCATAGCTGTATACCGTATGTCCATATGGGTTTTATTATACACTTATATAGTAGAAGTCGTGCATTTTAAGAATGTTGTCACATGATGGAGTGAATATAGATGGGGTTTGAATTGGCATTTGGATTTATTGCACACTTATACAATTTGTGAGTACACTTTAGAAATCACTATCACACACAGAGCAGTGTCCTCAGTCACGGTTTGCACTACACTGCTTGGCAGTGTCTTCAAACAGTGGACGTTCCCCTTCCTCTGGGTTCCCAAACTGTCCCCGGCCTCAGCTACCAGCTTCTCACTTCTCATACTGCAACTCTGAACTGACTAAACAGTGGACATTCCACTACTCCGAGGATCACGTCCTCACAGGCTGGCAGCCATCTCACACCAACCTCCTACTTTTTTAACTGCCGTTAAGATTTCAGTGTACATTATAGTCAAGTACTATAAAACAGAAGTGGGAAATTTAAATTTGTGCTGGTAGAAGTCCATAAGACGTCACAGTCTATTCTTGATGCTGACTGCACCATAGTGATAAGGTCTAAGAATGTACAGAGCCTAATTCCAATTGCCCCTATTCACTCAGACAGCATTGTAGTTTGACATAAGTCTGTGACCCAGGTACAAGGATTAGGACCTCACAGTAATGTACACTTGAAAAGCGGCCTCCATAGTCTAGAGGTAACGTTCCCACCTCATGACTCGTAGTACGCAGGTTCAAATACCCGGCGGAGGTCGTCGAATTTTTAAGGGTGGAAAAATTCAGGGAACAAGTCCTCCGGGAGGCACTTCAAGCCGTGGGTCCCGTGTCGTAGCTTTACGGCACATAAAAGAACCTCATATCTCCAAAGGAGGTCACTGAGCCAAATTACGGACGTTTCCCGCCCAACAGCAGTCTCTAATACCTGTGGTAGATGGGGGAAGCATTATAGATACCTCTCAGCTAGTAGAGCCGGTCTCGCTGGCTGGGCGGGACTGATGGTAAGCACCAGTACCGGTAGGATATAGAGACTGGTAGAAATCATAGAGGGAAGCACAATGGACCAATACAGGTCTCAGTGCATGGGGAAACCCACCCTCTCCAATAACTAACTAACTAATGTACACTTGAAGATTGCTGTATTGAAGGATGTGGCTCCATGCAATCTGGCAGGTAATTGCCACTGTTTTAGAGGAAACTGCTGCTATCATCTTCAGGGTAGAAGAGAGACTTCTTGCCTCAAGGTGGCAGCAGATTCCTTCAAAACAGTGGTAATTGCCTATCAAACTACACATCATATCTGACGAGACAGTACTCTTCATAGTCGGTGCCATGAAAATCTCAGATCTAACATACACATCTTTCTGCAGGTGTGGGTGTTCCAGAGGATCAACATTATGAGTCACCTGCCTGGATTGTGCCTTCAAGCTGCATCTGTAAACAGGAATCAGGTGCCCCACCCTTCATGGGAAAACTGCGATCATAATAATGTGGCTGTACGCTGCATGTGGGACAACCGACGTTTACATGAGGAGGTAAAGATGATTTTCAATTGTTCTTTTCAATGGTAAACTCATCTTGTAGTTTATGCTGTATTCATTGTGTTTTCACGGAGGTTAACACGTCAGCAGTTTGGTGCCACGTATGTAAATCCTTGCTCCATCAAGAACACAGCGATGTGAGATCTGAGGTTCTCACACTGATGAATATTAAGATTGTGGTCTTCTGGGACATGGCATCATGTAGCTTGGTAGATGGTTACAACTGCTTCAGAAAACATGCTGCTGACCCAAGAGGTTGGTCTAGCAGTAACGCTCATTGACTTGTGTGTCTGGTTCCTTCCACATCCCTTCCAATTCAGCAATCATCTGATGTATAGTCATGATAAAACGGCCTCTGTAGTCTAGGGGTAACGTTCCCACCTCGTGACTCAAGGTATGAGGGTTCAAACCCGGCGGAGGTCATGGAATTTTTAAGGGCGGAAAAATTCAGGGAACAAGTCCTCCAGGAGGGACTTTAAACCATGTGTCCCATGTCGTAGATTTACGGCACGTAAAAGAACCTCGTGTCTCTAGGAGACGTCAGCAAAATTAGGCAATACATTTCCTGCCCAAGTAGTTTCCAATGCCTCTGGTGGATGGGGGAAGCATCAAGGTACCAGGGGCCGACCTTGTTGGCTCTACGGGGGCTGATGGCACGCACCGTTACCGGTAGGGTATGGCGACAGTAGAAATTAAAGGGGGGACGCACAATGGACCAATAACTGGTCTAAGTGCATGGGGAAACCCACCCCCTCTCAATACGAATACGAATAGTCATGATACTGACAGCGTATAAAATTATCAACTAAGTAAATAAGTAACCTACTTCCCCTGATCCAGTGAGCATCAGGGGCTTTTCCCTCAGGGCCAAAACGTGAAGCTGACCACTAACCTCCATCTAGTACCAAGGTTAAGAGTGCATGGTACTGTATTTCCACTCCTCCATACATCTTCATGGCATGGCACTTAATTAAGCACAGGGATAACTTAACCCTTATCTTTTACTGCCTTGATCCTATCTTCAGGATTTTACACAGCATTATATACCAGAAAACCAGTCTTAGTGTGAAGTGAATTTTTCTGTTTATATTGCATTAACGCATAAACCATCACGGCTATAAATATATATAGTGTGGTGGATTGATCATAGGTTATTTAACATTATTGTATCAACTGCAGCAGTTACTTAGCATCAAATGATATGAAAGAATGATTATGTTTGGTAAACTTTAAAGAATTTTGGCCACCAGCAGTCATGGCCTCTTTCAGAGTGTATCTCATCATTCATATTGAGAGCTGAGGAAAACCCATATACTTTACAATAGGCTGTCTTCTGGCCAAGATTCGAACTGAGTACCTCCCAAATACAAATCAGAAGCATTACTGCTACAGCCATCTTGCTTTGTGGCGATGTGATGGAGATCCTTATATTTAGATGTCTTGATTTATGAATAACAGATCAATTTTCAGTAACCATGTCTCCATTTAGTGATTACAGGGTCTCTTTCCCTGGGGGTAAAGTGATTTGAATATGAAAGCCTCTTACCTGTTATAGAGGTTCAAAATGCAATTTTATATGCACAAATAGAGCTTTGTATCCACTCACCTCTTTTGAGTGTTGAGTTTCAGAATGCATGGAGCTTTATGTCCACTCCCCTGTACATCTCTTGACATATGCTTTGGCACAGGGACAAATTCATTTATGGATTTTATATATTGTTTCCTAGGTTGGCCAGCCCATGTATGCCCTGTGGCAACAAAATGAGCCGCCCAGCACCCTTGTGAGTGCCCTGATCACAGACCGCACTTCAATACCCCGAAGGTAACCACCATATACCTCTGACCTAGACTGCACCATAAATTTAGGGAAGCACTACAGATTGTGATTTAAGGTGAAGAGTTTTATTTAATGTCTTTCTGAAAACAAGGAACATGATTGCATGTTAGAATTATAGCCATAGATAAATAAGTGCACTCATTTTAGTGATATAATGAGATGGACAGCAATTTATCTTGTACATAGTAGATTTACTGTGACTGAAATATTCTTGAGTTTATCGTGTTGGAAAAGTCTTGGGAATACATGAAACATTTTGGTGGCTCTTTTGCAAGACTTGATGCAGTCTCAAGAATTTTGATACAGTGTTCCCAGGAATTTTGACGTATGTTTCCACCAGTTTTGATTCATACTTTCCCAGAATTCTGATAACAAGACAAGTCAGGATAGCTAAGTCAGTATAGTGACAGGCTGGATGACCAGGGTTCTATTCCTGGCAGTACAAGATTTTTCTCTTCCCCACAGTTCCCAGATTGACTGACCCTGGGGCCCACCCAGCCTCCTGTGAAATGGATACCAGGGGGGTTAAAGTGGCTGGAGCATGATCACTCACCTCTGTTCATTGCCAAGGTCAAGAAAGATGGAGTTATACCCTCCACTCCCCCATACGTCCCGTGGCATAGTCCTTAACTAATTAAGCACAGGAAGAACTTCACCTCTACCTCTTCTGGTACAAGATTCCCAAGAATTTTGATGGAGACATCCAATTTCTCAAGCCCTGTGTTTAGACAGCGGATGAGTGGCCTCCGTAGTCTAGGGGTAACGTTCCCACCTCATGACTCAATGTACACAGGTTCAAACCCTGTGGAGGTCATGGAATTTTTAAGGGCGGAAAAATTCAGGGAACAAGTCCTCCCGGAGGGACTTTAACCTGGGTGTCCCATGTCATAGATTTACAGCATGTAAAAGATCCTCATGTCTCTAGGAAACCTCTGAGCAAAATTACGCAGTTTCCCGCCCAAGTACTTTCTAGTTCCTCCGGTAGATGGGGAAGTATCAGGGACCACTACCGGAGAGGGCCGACCTCACTGGCAGAAAGGGGCTGATAGCGAGCACCAGTACTGGAAAGGCATGGCGACTAGTTAGAATAATTAAAGGGGGACACACAGTAGATCAATAAATGGCCGCAGTGAATGGGGTAACCCACCCCCTCCAAATAATAATAATAATAATAGACAGTGGATAATGTCCAAAATAATAATCATCATTTTGTTTTATTTATATATATTTGTGTTTGTGTTGGCACAGTGTAATGCTGATGGTAATTTCTGGTGTCCGTTGCAATGACTTGATGGAGCCCCTGAAGAAGCTGGCTATTGAAAGGCAAAAGCTGAAGGGGAAGGGAGTGAATCGCAGCCACTCCCTTTACTGGGACATCTTGTTCCTAGCCTTCACTGTCATAGGCCGTGAGAACATCGATCATGGTAAGGGAACACAAAGCAGACATACCCAGGTGTCCAGGTTAAGAATGTATGAAACTTTACCACCACTCCTAATCTGCACCTTCATAGCATGGTGCTTGGACACAGGGACGGCTTTAATATACCTCTAGTACTTTTAAGGGAACATGAAGAGTGAGCTCAACATATCACTTATTCACTCACTCATGAAGCCGAGCCATGAATGTTTATAAATAGTTTATATGGTTTTAGGAAGGTATTGCTACTGCTACTACTACTAATAATAATAATAATAAAAACCATCCAGATATTAAAATTATCAGATCAAGGGGGTCAGATTAATGAAACATGTAAGACAAATGAGAGATAAAATAAATGCATGTTTTGGTAGGAAATTTTTATGGAAAGAGACCACTTGGAAGACTTAGGTGTAGATAGGATAGTATTAAAATGGAATTTATGGAAATAGAATGAGAGAGTATGGTCTGCATTGATCGGTTGAAGATTGGGATCAGTGGTGGGCTCATGTGAATATAATACTGAAATGTTAGCCTGGAATTACTAGACTAGCTGAGCAGCTGTTAGGTTCTCAAAAAAGTTAGTTACATAATGGACATTTCTTGTGTGTCCATAATCATCTTGATGCGATTAATAGCTAAGAAGATATACAGCTTCCTTATGCTTAACCAGCTTATTGTGTGTATAAACGCTTCACAAGCTTTCCCGTTCATGAAAGTTAAGAATTATTTAACAGTCCGAATAATTTTAAAGTTTGCTATTGTCTGTTATACCCTAATGCAGACTGTTATATGGAGGCTTATCATACATCACTATTAGTCCCAGGGCTGTCCACATGGTATTTGAGAATTATAACATCGCACTAGAGCAAATATTCTGCGATGTAGTTCAATTTTTCCCTTTCTTTCATCATTGACAAATGAATGATAAGTATCTTTCATCACTCTGGTATAACAGACATCACTTGAGGCCAGAGTGCACCACAAGAAGGAAACTTACGATCATGTATTGATGTCACAAAGCTAAGTGTTTTTATTATACCATTGCAGCTGAATTTGACTGCAAGTACATGGAAGCATATGAGCGTCTGCCACAAAGGGACCTGAAATTGTACCAACGGTGCGACAAACCCCCGTCCATTGCATCTCTATATTGCAGACACTACTTCAAGGAGCTGGAACTCTGACATGATATCACCTGCCCAGATTCTAGAATTTTGGATAAAGTAAGTACTTTATGGAACAGCTATGAGTTGACTCTGAGTTGGGGAATCCTCTCATCAAAGCCAAGGTCATACACGTGGTCTCCTGCCTTGAAACTTTATATGCATTTCATATTTCTCCGTGAATATATTACATATCCCACCCATCTCATTACCCTAAAAGAACTGTATGAAGGGAACATATTGGGATGCCCATAATGTAATTTTATCAATACCCCAATTACTTTCTGCCTTAGGTCCATTCTCCTCAGCACTTCCTTCTCAGGGGACCTCAGTTCATTCTTGTGTTCTGTCCACTGACAAGTGGTAGGAAAATGTCATTTTTAGTTTTACTGGACCCAAATCTTTTCTCTCCTCAACCCTGCAATTATGAGAGCTGGGTAGTTCTGTCAGTATAGTGCTATAGGCTGGATAACTGAAGAATGTGGGTTTGGTTCCCCACAGGGACTACAGATTGTTCTCTTTTCACAGTGGCCACAGTGGCTATGGGTCCTGCCTAGCCTCCTATCCAATGGGTACCAGGAATCTATGCTGAGACACAGAGCACATCACTCACTGCCATCTAGTGCAGAAGTTAATGTGTGGAGCTATGCCTCGACTCCCCCATACATCTTCATGGCATGGGGCTTAATTAAGCACAGGGACAAATTTAAATGTACCTTCACCCAGCAACTGCATGTGAAGAAAATTGGTGTTTTTGTCCTGTGGTTTGGGATACATCTCAATATGCTGTTTGGCAGGAAGTGTAGACTGTACTTTGTTATTTGCAGATGGTCATCAGAATGGACAGGATACCAAGCATCCCTGCCATGCCATGCAGTCATGAAACAGGGGACAGATTGTGGTACCCAGTGTTACAAAGTGTGATTGCATTAAAGTTGTGACAGACAATGAATTCTGAATTAAGTTACTTAGACATATATTTGCTTGTTAAGAGTAATACTGGGAGAATGGCTTTGCTACGCTTGTTGTGGTAGAGGTGGTGCTTCACACCACATGCATTTGGCAGCTTAACTCTCTGTATTACTAAGTTTCAGTTAATAAACTGAGTAACACAAGTTCCTGGTCATCTATCTATGTAGTGGCTGCTGCTCAAGTGGCAAACCCAGTCCCTCGTTTTCATGAGTATTAGATTACAGGTGCATGGGAGACAGGTTTATCTAAGTACTATGGGTGTGAGATCTGAGGTCTCACAGTGATCATTATGAAGATTATTGTCGTCATCTGGGATGTGATGTTGTATAGTCTAGTGTTTTGAGGGAACCTGCTGCTCCTGTCTTTAGGGTAGAAGACTACATTACTCTTCTGCCGTGAAGATAGAGGCACCAGGTTCCTATGAAGTAATGGTAACAACTGCTAGGCTACACAGCATCACATCCAAGAAGACAGCAATCTTCATCTCACTTCAGTGCAATTCTTCATTTTTATAAGAACCACTAGCAGTACCCGGCCACGTGGTGCTGTGGCTCAGTCTTGTTAAGTTCTGCAACCTCGTTATTGACAGTTTGCAAAATTTGATCGTAAATGCCTTTTTGTTCAAGCCTTAGCTTAGGAATATTTGATTGCACATATGACAAAAGATCGCCTGTGTTATAATTTTGTTCATGACGCAATTCTACATTGAACGAAGCAGCAGCAGATCGATTGGGTGATGGCATTCCCAATTGATTGAGATCTTTGTTCGTGATTTCTAAGTATAAATCTTCAATCATTATCAACGGCGGTTAATTTCAGACTGATTGCTTCTTGTCGAAGCTGGGCTATTTATACCTCAGCGGGTGCTATACAATGCCCTCTGTTGTCTATCACCAGGGAAACGCTGCTTTGTTGATTCTGCGATTCCTATGCGACCCATTGTTATTGCGCTGTCTCTGTGGGAACGCTCCGTGTATTCGTCGTAACCACGGAGATTCGATGTTCTCGACATAACGGCTCGCTGTTGGGATTACAGTATCGCTATTGTTACTTCCTAGGCAACGGCCAACTGTTGGGGCTACAGTAACGCTATTGTCGCTACCTATGCAACGGTCTGTTCTAGCGTTACTATGGAAGTGACGCCTGGATTCCGAACATGTGACATGTTTTGCCTGTCACAGGTGTGACAGCTATGTAATAGGTATATAAAAACGCGCGTATTCGAATGCAACGTTATGTCAAAATTTCAAAGCAATCGGTGAAGAACTTTCGGGGATTTAAGATCTTGAACAAACGAACAGTTAAGAAATCGAAATGAAAAACAACGAAAAATAAAATACTCACGACATGAACGCTATGGTAAACGACACAGCCCAAATCAAACACAACGTCACACGAAATAACTAAATCAAAATGGCCAACTGTTGGGGCTACAGACTCACTTCTTCAGCAGATATTCCAGACTAACTGGGCGAATGAATTGAACCCCCTTGTTATACCCTCGGCCGCTGCTAGGCAAATGAGCCTTTGTTATAACCGTGGAAACGGTGCTTTGTTGATTCGGCGTTTCCTATGCAACAACCCATTGTTATTGCATGTATTCATCGTAACCATGGACATTCAATGTTCTCGACACGGCGGCTCAATGTTGGGAATACAGTATCACTATGGTTACTTCCCATGAATTCCAAACACATTACAACAGATGGTGATGTTTTTCAAAAGACGCATGTTTTTACCTGTCACAGGTGTGACATGTATATAATAGGTATATAAAAATGCGCGCATTCGAATGCAAGCATGTTTTTACCTGTCACAGGTGTGACATGTATATAATAGGTATATAAAAATGCGCGCATTCGAATGCAAGCATGTTTTTACCTGTCACAGGTGTGACATGTATATAATAGGTATATAAAAACACGCGCATTCGAATGCAACGTTGTGTCAAAATTTTGAAGCAATCGGTGAAGAACTTTCGGAGATTTTCGAGGGGTAACAAACGAACATTTACATTTTTATTTATATAGATTATGGAGGAAACTCGGAATGGCAGAACAGAAGGGAGAACTATGAAGAGCACCATATTCTGGAATGTGACACCGTGTAGCCTGGTAGAAGCTTACCGACATTTCGTAGGCACCTACTACATCCACGTTCAAGGTGGAAGAGTAAGCCATGCAAACAGAAAGCAGGTTGTCTTACATTCACAGCTGAAGGAAACTGCATAAAAAAATAAAATGTCATTCAGTAATTCCTGGGAAAATACACAGGTAACCGTGGCATAACTCAAAGCTGATGTATCTATAGAATATCACCATATTTCCATCAGTAAATATTTAATTTGCATTGCCTTAATGCCATTAAGTTCACAAAGAATTGTACCTATAAAGCTTTCTGAATGAGTAACAAAATTATATTTTCTATAAATTTGCCTTTGGGTAATCTTACAGTTAGTAAAAACTGTGTTTTAACCCTCTGCCTGCCACTAGTTGTGTAGATCAACTTGATATACTCATGTTAAAATTGCCAGAGTCTAAAGAGATCAGCTTGACATCAACTCACTTCATAGAGCTTTTCTTTTTCAGTGGATGGCATCAAGTGTTACATACCAGTGTTAAAGAGGAAAGAAGGCTCTGATGCTATTTAAATCTGTAGTATTAAGGGGTCTTGTGTAAAATGCCATTTAACCGAAGCAGCCTTGGTGTTTCTAGCAGGTAGCTCAGAGTGTGGCTAGACAAAGGGTTAATTTTGTTTTAGCCCCTGCAACCGCCAATCAGTGCAATCCCGTGAGACCAGAAGAGACAGGACTATTCTATGAGATATGATAAAAATGCATGTTTATAATTTCCATCCTTTATTAGTATTGTTTATTTACAGAATTACCTGGTATTAATCAAATTGTCTTAATCTTACAATGAAGCTGCAAGCTACATTATTAATCTTGATCACAATTAAAATTCTAGATACTAGCAACTTTTATAAAGTTACACCACATTAATATACAAAAATTCCAAATGCAAAAAATCTATGTAGATCAATTAATTAGTTTAGAAATACATTATAAATAATCTCTATCACACTAAAGCACATTTTTGTATTTAAATTTATGTAAAAGTTTTGAAATCTTAACTTATATAGTAATCTTGACATTTTTTAATTAGGAGCCATAGCCAGTGTACAGTTAAAAGTGCGGGGGCCGGTTTTTTATGGCACATCCCTTACATACATACATACATACTTATGCTTTAAGTTAATAAAAACATTTAAAGAAACATGACAATAAAATAGGCCTTACAGTCTTAAGGAAGTCTCATGCTGTTTAACCCCTTGCTTGTACTGAGCCATGCATTCTACTTATGGCTCTGTTCAGAGGCTTCTCTACCTACCAACCCCCCCCCCCCCTTCAGCTGTTTCTAGCAGGGGGACAGTAGGAGAGAGGAGATAGTGGACCTGCCCTTCCATGGCCGGTGAAGGAGGTGGTGAAATTCTGTTTAGTTTGGGTTGGTTTTCTCTTTCAGGCTGTGAAAGGGTAGTGTCCCTCCTTGGGGTTGAGGCGACTGTTTGGAGGTGCTCAGTTACTGCAGTCAGAGGAGGAGGTAGCAAAATTCTGTTTGGTTTCTTCTTCTGGCTAGGGAAGGATAGCGTGTCCCTTGGTTTTGGGATGAGTGTAGCTAAATTTAGCAGTTTCTTGGGGTGTGTATCTTGCCTTGCTTTGGGATTTTGTATTGGGCCAAACATTCCTTTGAGCTGTGTTTGACTTGTTTACTAGTGTGCCTGTATCTCTCGGGAGGATTTTTTCTAAGAGGGAGTGCCTCGCCATCAAAGTGGTAAGTGAGTGGAATTTTGTTTTTCCTTCTTTTCAAAATTCATGTTCTTTTGGCCCTTGAGTTGTTTTACGGGGCTGTTGACGGCGAGGCATCTCCAAAATACGCAACGTTGGTTTTGCGACGTCGTGAAGGGAGTTTGTATTTCATGGTATTTTTATTGTATCCGAGTCATTTTCATTATATTAAATATTTGTTGTTATTGTTATCTGGAGATTTTTCTGGCTGCCATCGGTGAAGATCTATAACTTTGACACCCCACTCTATCTCAGGGATGAAGGCATTATGAAACAACATAAAAGAACCAGGGACAAAAACAATGTCTTCCCCTTGCTAGTTAGGTTAAGAGGGGAGGGGCTGCTCAGTACTAATGTAGCAGAACACAGTAACATTAAAAGAACACCATTTTAATGTAATAAAATCTATTAAATTATTATTTAAAACTGGTAAACACAGAAATAATGCACCACACAAAACAGTCCCACCACAATTTAAAGATTTCTGTTTCTAACATAGCATGACCAAGCTCAGGCAGAAGAATATAGCACTGCTGTCAGGTCTTCATTTCAATTCCAGACATGTAAACTTGCAGCAACCAAAATACATACTAGTCTTGCAGCAGAAATATTCATCATTTGATTCAATTGGAAAGTAGAGTTTAGCAGTGCAGCTAGAAAATATGATTGTCAGCCACTGGTGAGCACTGAATATTAATAAGAGGGATCATAATATCATAATGAAACTATAATGTTTTAAAAGGAACTAGCAAAGGGTTAACAATGTGGATAATGCAGTAACAGGATATCTGTAATCATAATTACTGCTTCAATCATTAAATGCCTTTAAAAGAAAATACATTTTGGGTTGGCAGGCATCTTTCCTGTTGTAAAACAGATGGTACAGTGGACTATCATGAGCCAACAGGGTTACAGATTTCATATTTTTATGCAATCTTGGCATAAAATGAATGTGTACTCCATATATATCTGCATGTTTGACCTTTGAAACTACAAGACATATTCAATTAAATCTGCGCGAGTCTTATTTCCTTCAGCAGGAGTTCCATCATCTGCTATGTGTCCATTTTTGTTTGCCTTAATCTTTGTTATTTGTCCTGTCGATCACGTGTGTAAGTCCAATCCCACTTCTATAACACCAGTGTAATGTGGTGTTTGTTATCTCACATCCATCCCTCACTCTCACTCATTCTCGCTGGGGAGGCCCATGCTTCTGTATTACCGGTTCCTCTTCTATGCGCTTTTTTTTTTGGGGTGGGGGGGGGAGAGGGTCGACCCCTCCACAAGGTCCATTCCTTGTTCTTTGTATATGTTCGAATGTCATGCAGCACATCTGCTGCCCAGCCTTTGAGGGCTATGATTAAGTACGTCGATTTTTTCCGATGCGACCACTGGTTGCGCTCTGCTATGGTCTTGAACTGGTGCTGGAACACACTTCAAGGTGTACTTCCATTGAATGTTGTTGGCTGAGCTGCATTCGCACAGGCTATTAGTCTACTTCTCCGCCAGGTAGGGGGCTTTTTCTTCTTCCATGCATCTCTCCTGCGTCATGCCACTGCTACACGACAGGACACCTTCCTTTCGGTTTCCTTCTTCTGCCATGCCACTTTCGCACAGCAGCCAGTCCTCTTCGGTACCCATCCTGATCCTGGGTCCGTTCCTTCATTTTTCTTGCAGCTGAAATTCTGTGCCTACTCCACTTCTTCTTTAGCCCTCTGACTGGCATCTCTATGCCATCTTCTATGGGGATGTCTTGTTGTGCCGCCTCAGATTTTGTGTCCACTGAAGTCTGCTCCTTTTCCAGACGTGTATCCATCGACTTTACGTCTGTTTCGGGTTTGATTTCAGCCACCATCTTGTGGCTGGTGGCCATCTCTTCTTGCCAGGCTTTCCATCTTTTCATGTTAGTATCAGTTTAGAATATGCTTTATAGATTGTAGTTTTGCATTGTTTAGGCAAATCTATTCTGTACTTTTCCTTCTATAAAGATGTGTGCCTTTTAAACTGATCTCTTCTCATATACAATAAACCCCATGTTTATCTGGCATGTATGTGGAATATGGTTTGCTGTTTTCATGAAGAAACTCAATAGAAAGTCAAAACACATTTTCACTTAAGTCTTGGGGTCTTCCTACATAAAATAATGGGTTGATGGATGAACGATTTTGGAAACGTACACTAACACAATCACAAATTCAACTAGCCTCTACTGTAATGGCACTTGCATGAGAAAGGATGATTCGTAGCACTGCTAATGGCAGATGGGAGAATTACCACATGGTGGGTAAACATACGTACATCACAGTTGATACCAGACAATAGAGTTTACTGTATAATGCTCCAGTACATCTAACCTTATAATCTGCACTATTAATTCTAAATATGAGAATCTGTACGAGAGAAAAGGAAGGATTATTGACCAGGAATTAGGTGCGGGTAGCTTTAACTCAGATTAACTCTAATAAGGGTTTCAGCAGAGTATGAAGTGTGTGTATGCATGTACTTTCCCCGATCAAAATTTTGCAGAAATTTAAAACTGGGAAGTACAGTTTCCATTCACAATAACAGGAGGGGTGGATGAACTTTAAATTTAATTTTTATTATTTGGCTCCATCAACACAATGATTTGTATAGATACCATTAAAAGAAAGGTAATGCCATCCTTATAATAGCCTATGGAGACCCATAGGGTTGTGAGACATCAAAGCTCCCACATTTTCTAGCCAATTGGCTCACAGATGGCAGTGAGACTGTCAGCCTTAACATGCCAGCCACCCTTTACCCCCAGGAATATTCCTGGTACTCATTTCTGTTAGAGGCTGTGATGACCCCAGGGCCACTGTGCAGCTGGATTATATCAACTGAAAAATCGAATGACCTTCAGCGGGAGTTGAATCTGCAAACTTCTGGCTTGTAGCATTGTTCCTCAACCAACTGCGGTACCATGTCCCCATACATATACCATACACTATAATTTTACTACATATTTAAAACTGTCTATGGACCTAATATGGGGAAAATTTGGATGGAAAATAAATGTCTAATTGACCAGAAGGGTGTTAGAGAGAAAGGGCTATTTGGAACGTACTAAAAAAACCTCACAAGGAAACATGACCATAGCTTAAACCACAACTGTATGCAGTGAAGTCTGCTCAGGAGTAATATCCAGCTTTTGGAGTCACTTCTGTCATCAAGGGTTACTATGATGAGTGATGAGGTCATATGTCATACTTATACATGAGAAGTATGCTCTCAGGGCTCAGTATTCTATCCAAGCATGGGCCCTTGGGGGAATCTAGCAGCTCATCACATCAAGCCCTGGAGATGGAGAGTCTCCAAAATACAGCATACAAACTCCATTTTCACACAGCTGATCATCCAAGAACACTTTATTGTTCAAAAAGATATATTAATGGGCCATTTCTTCCTATTTTATGTAAGACAAAGCTTCCAATCTATCCAGCTTACCTTTGGGTGTACTGGACTTGGTGTGTACTACAAGACACTGAACATGGAGAATTCAGTGTGGTGATGCTAATGAGCAAAAAACATGGGTTCTTACGTACAGCCATGCCAATAAATTTGACTCCGTCAAACGAGGGGGTAACCACTCAGAGATAAATGTTATAACAGTAAAAATCTGGGCTATGGGCTGGACAGCCAGGATTCAGTTCCCAGCAGGGCAAGATTTTTCTCTTCTCCATAGCATGCAGGCCACCTCTGGGGCATACCCAGCCTCCTATACAATTGGTAAAAAAAAAGGTAAAGTTGTCCCTGTGCTTAGTTAGTTAGTTGGTTATTGGAGAGTGTGGGTTTCCCCATGCACTTAGACCTGCATTGGTCCATTGTGCTTCCCTCTATGATTTCTACCAGTCTCTATATCCTACCGGTACTGGTGCTTACCAGCGAGACCGGCTCTACTAGCTGAGAGGTATCTTAATGCTTCCCCAGTCTACCACAGGTACTAGAGACTGCTGCTGGGCGGGAAACATCCGTTAATTTGGCTCAGTGACCTCCTTTGGAGATACGAGGTTCTTTTACGTGCCGTAAAGCTACGACACGGGACCCACGACTTAAAGTCCCTCCCAGAGGACTTGTTCCCTCAATTTTTCTGCCCTTAAAAATTCGACGACCTCCGCCGGGTATTTGAACCCGCGTACTACGAGTCATGAGGTGGGAACGTTACCTCTAGACTACGGAGGCCGCTGTCCCTGTGCTTAACTGATTAAGCAATGTGCCATGAAGGGATATGGGGAAATGGATGTGTAGATCCACATTTTCTTGACCTCAGCACTAGCTGCAGGTGACGCGTCAGCTTCACGCCCCGGCCACTTTACTCCTGGGGAAAGAGCCCCTGTTATCCACTGAATAGGAGGTTCAGTTGACTCCAGAGCCAGTCTACACAACATGGAGACGTGAAAATTCTTACCCCCTCTGGGACTTGAACTCTGACCCCTCGGTTGTCCAGCCTGTAGCCAGTCGTTATACCAACTATGCTATCCCAGCTCCTATCCAATGGGTCCTGGGGGCAATTTCCACAGGAGTAAAGCAGCCTGAGTGCAAAGCTGACTACTCATGTCCATATAATGCCAAGGTCAAGAACAGTGGGCTATACCTCCCTTCCCCATACGTCTTCAAAGCACGGTACTTAATTAAACACAGGACAACTTTACTAAAATCTTGGGTGATTTTATAAACTAAATCTTATGGTACATAATGGTTAATGCTCCTGAACAAATCTACTTCTCCTTTCAGAGATCCTGTCTTTGTTTCCTTCCCTTTCCACAAATGCCAGGGGCGACCATGAAAAAACTGATGGCTGTGAAGTTACATAACTCACTTTCTTCACAGAAATTATCGTGTGGTAAGTACAGGGGCTAATTTAACCCATTCTGTGATGACTTAAAAGTCCATGTTCCCAAAGACATGGGTTACATTCTTCTTTTATCAAAAAAGGCAAGACAAATGTAGCACCCTTCCTACCTACAACTGTGGTGTATGAAGCGTGCGACTGCAGCACCAAATTGCGTAGTACATTGTTTAAAAGCGATTTTCAACACAGCAGTTGTGGCATATTTGACACTCACTTTTCACAAAATGTACATCTGATTATTTTGGCATATACATTTAATATCCAGTATTTCAGTGATTTTTGTATTCATGTGCTGTGTAAATCAAATGTACAATCTGTTTGCTGGTTAATGTAACACTTTTCATAGTCTTGTAATCTTTATTTTATCTTGTCATCACATCACTAGTTATAACCAGTGCATTTTCTGCCAATATCCACATTGGCAAATTTATCAAAAGCTGCACACATGCCAATGTATTGTATATTTCAAGGAAGTCTAAAACCGCATGAAGTTTCAGGCAAACATATTAAAAGAAATTCTAGCTATAACTGTTACTTAACACAGAAGGTATTTAAAATGTCATAAGCTGCACCTGATGCTACAAGATGGTACTAGCACCTGTAATCTCTCACAACATGCAAATTTTAATTGGGCACATCTTTTAAATTGAAACTTTGGCAATTAGTACCATATATCACTGTCATAGGAGAAATAACAAAATAAATCAACAAACCTCTGTTGAGGCACATAAATCTCTTCAGCCTTTAGCTTTCATACTTGCTGAAAGGCTGTCCAAAAGACTAAGGGTTACACACAACTTTAAAATTAACCATTAACTATAAGGATTACATAAAACTTTAAAGTTAACCACTGGCAACTCTAATGCATGATAATTCTGAAAGGCATACTTACACACGAATGATTAATATACTAATGCCTCAATCATGCAGTAATCCTGTTATTAAAAAATCCAGTTACTGCTCACTTCCCCTGCTGTGGACAACATCGTTGGTCATAAAAGACAGCACTTTTTCCTTACATTAATAACCTTCTTTTTCTTCCTGCGATTCTCTTTCCCACGTTGTTCCTTGTCTTTCCTTATTTCACGAACCAAGGTATAAAATGCATCATCGACCCCCATTCTTGTTTTCGCTGATGTCTCAATGAATGGAACTGCATACTGTTTGGCAATTTCACGGGCTTGGTTCATGTCCACTGCCCAAGATGGAAGATCACATTTGTTGCCTACCAAAACCATAGGCACTTCTTCTGCATCCTTCACCCTCTTTATTTGTTCACGATAACCTCCAATATCCTCAAATGACTTTGCACTGTTAACAGCAAACACCAGAAGAAATCCTTCACCAGTTCTCATGTACTGGTCCCTCATTGCACTGTATTCTTCTTGTCCCGCTGTATCAAGAATATCAAGCAGACAAGTCTCACCATCGATGACAACTTGCTTACGATACGAATCTTCTATTGTTGGATCATATTCGTCAACAAAGTGATTCTGAATTAGTTGAATGGTCAAGGCACTTTTCCCAACACCTCCAGCGCCTACGACAACTAATTTATATTCCGTCATGTTGCAGGATACACGGTCTTTCAACAGTTCAAAAGTAGGTAATATTCCTTCATTTGCGCGAAATCGGAATAATTACCTACGAAATACCTACGGTCCCTACTTCCCAAATCACGCCGCCATTGCAATTCTTATTCCGTAAAATTCCACATTAATGCTTGGGCGCTGCAGTAACCTGTGAGCCTGTGAGTGTCTCTGACGCCTGTGGCTAACCGTTTCGAGGATTAGATCATTACATGTAGAACCACTCTTGCTTTAGAATGATAGAATTTCTCCACCAAAACACTGCAAAATTAAAATAATATATGTCATCTTAAGTACAGTCACAAGAGTTCAATTTTTTTTGCCATACCGCAAGGTGTCACATCCCAGAAGACAGCACAGCAAACCCTCCTCCAGCCCGGTTTACACTACAATCGGAAAAGTACAAGTGTATAATTATTTGTCAAAAGCGGAAAGTTAGAATATGAGCAGGCTACCAAACATTCCTCGGTAGCATGCAACTACTGTTAAAATTAAAACAAACTGTTTAAGTTTGGGTGTGTCTTTTCATAATCAGCTTGGTTCGTTCTGTGCAGCATATCGAACAGTGCAAGCTAAATTGTCATCCCCATTTTTTTTCCTTGGCACTACGACCCCAGTGGGCCTAGGCCTACCCCCATGAACTTATCCGTTTACTTCGGTTTTTCTAGATCTTACACATTCGGTAGGACTCCTTGGGCGCGTGATCAGCTCGTCGCAAGGCCTCTACCTGTACAAAACAGAGAAAAACGCACACACAAATTAACATCCATGCCCAGAGTGGGATTCGAACCCACGATCCTGGTTTTCAAGCGAGCGAAGACAGTACATGCCTTAGACCGCTCGGCTACCGTGACCGGGCGTCATCCCCATTAAGTTCGTTCAAACCGGATTCGCTGAACATGCCTCTTTCGACGGACGTTTCCCCACGCTGGACAAGAGTTTAATGGCGCCATTAATTCAATTAAAATTCACAAAAGTATTGTCTCAAAAGAACGTCATATTTATCTTAGACACATCTATGGTTGTTATGTTGTTTCACTAGAACTTCTATATTATTGAAAAGATTTCTAGTTTAGACTAGTTGGAATTGTTTCCACGGTAAAATCATGAACTAGTTTGTAATTTGGGATATGCTTTTAGGAAAATTACATGTTATAAATGCCTATTGTCATGAATTGTGCCGTGAGCTGTGTTTGTTGATCTAATGGCAGAAAGAAGAGGTAAAGCTATCCCTATAACAGGCCGTGGAGGTCCATAGAGTTGTGAGACGTCGAGGCTCCCACACTTTGCAGTCACTCGAGTCACAGATGGCCATGAGGATGTTGGCCTTACGCGCCGGCCGCCCTTTACCTCTGAGAAGAGTCCTGGTACTCATTTCTGCTAGAGTCTGAGTCGACTCCCAGGGCCAAAATTTAACTCCAAGTACAATGTAGACGTATTTCCTTGTGCCTAACTAATTAAGTATTACGCCATGAAGGCGTATTGGGGAGTGGGTGTATAGATCCACATTTTCTTGACCTCTGCACTAACTGGAGCTGAGTAGTCAGCTTCACGCCCCTGTTGCTTCATCCCCCGGTGAAAAAGTCCCCGGTACCCATTGGATAGGAAGTGTGGTGAACTCCAGAGCCGATCTGGACGACATGAAGAAGTGAAAATTCTTACTCCCACTGGAACTCGAACTCCAACACCCCTATTCATTCTGCCAGTAGCCCATCTCTATACCGACTACGCTATCCCGGCTCTTCATATACATATGAACATGCACATAAATACATTTATACATACTCATAAATTCAAGAGGATTTTCTTAATATCATTCTGAGCAAAAACTATCATATTTGACAATTTATTTAACATCCATAACTGTTACACGGGCACAATTGAACAAGGCATTTGTAAACAACCAAACACTGCATTTCAACAACTCTTAAAAACGTACAAAACAATATACAAGACACTGTACAATACAATCCTTTTTTGATCAATATCAACCTTGCTGTAGCTTGCGAACCGTGTATGATAACTGCCAGCAATTCAGTATAAAGTAATAAATATATTTAAAGAGCCTAAAACACTAGTCAGCCATGTAAATAAGGCATAACACGTTTATTGAAGATGACAGTCCAAAGACCATCTACATGCTAAAACACTGTAACTGTTTAGACACATCGAAACACCTGAGGATGGCCGTCTGTGGCCGAAACATGTCGTCTTGGCGTTGATTGGTGAATATTTTAATGATTGTTGCATTATTGACGGACTAAGTACATAGACGTTTATTTAATGATGTACAACAGAATGCTGAAATACAGAATTAAAGATTAGAAGTAGTCAGTCTCATTGTTTAAAAATACTTTAAATTTGTGGATAGGGTAATATAGTTTGTGGCAACTTTAATTATATTTTTTCTTCCATTCACAGAAAAAAAAGTGAAATTGAATGCATTTTACTTTCCATCTATTCGCAGAATAAAGCGAAATTGCATGCACTTTACACATAAGGGGAACCTGCGTGTGCGGAAACCGCTCATGTATTGTGGAGCAGTTGCCGAAAGTTTGAGAAACACTGTCGTACTTATTCATTCGACAGAGAACATGTACTTAAATATAATGGAATACCGGGTGTATCAAGAGTGAAATTTAATGCTGAGTTCCTTAAACTTTGGACCGACGGCTTCACAAGGACTGAGCTCCATGGAGTTAGTTAATATTTTGCAGGTTAATTTTTCTTTCAGACGCTGAAAGGCACATGCAGGAAAATTCCTAACCAATTAATTAGTATTAGAAAAAGGTATGAAGTGCGTGTATTTACTTGTCGACTGCACATAATTCAAAGTAATTTGACATCCCACTGCGCTTTCGCTGATGACTGCTGTTGTAAACGGTTGTAGATCTCAGTCATCTCAGTTAAGTTAGGTCTAGATGCGTTTGGGTATGAATGCGGGAGCCCACTGCGCATATTTGTTCATGTTGGGCTATGTTGGTCTGTGTTTTTATTTGGCTGTCTCATTGGGTATGTGCGAGCTGTAAAGAGATACATAGCATTTTACTTGAGATTTCAGTTCAGTTGCTGGGTTTATGTGAAATTTGAAATCAAAGTCACTGCACATTTTGTTAAATCTTTTCGGGACCGACTTAAAATTTGTTATATAGCCACGAATTATATTGGTTTACATTCGGCGTCGACGTTCAAGGCTTCCGTAATTTTCATCAACTTGAACTAAACAAAACTTTCTTTTTTTCTTTCTTTTGGAGAGCCCGAGGTGGCAACCACGTTATGAAATATTACCTCTGCTGTAGGGATCCGTGCTATATTCCATGGTTTACAGTAACGGTGATTCGAATTGCCACACATAGCAATATTCAGACTACTTTCTCTGAGTCCGTTATAAATACAGTTTTCCTGTTCCTCCGGAATATTACCGTTAGAAGTAGCATTTGGCTACATTAAATGCCAATTTAAGATACATCTTCTTAGTGTGTGTAACATTCATTCTTTTTTTTAAATTTAATTTCGTTATTCCAAACGTGTGAACATATTTCGCTTTGAATATAAGACAGTGGTACATTGATATTTGTGTTTTCGCACGTTGGCAGCGAATGTTAGTGACTTGTCGCTTCTTGCCCAAGACTGAAGTTGACCCTGGAGAGAAGTGTACGTGAGAAGTGTGCATGACGGGAAAGAGTTCGATTGTGAGAATGTCTGCATGCAGAGAAATGACATTACAACGTAAGACGTCGAAATTTTGAAATATGTTGTTAGTTTTGCTTGTGTAAAAATTATTTGAGATTGGCGGAGTAATTAGCAGGTGGGTATCGGTAATAAACAAATATATCCGTACCAGATCAGTAAAGTAACGACATATGTCTTTTTGCAAATTTGTAATGGTATTTGAGTGTTTACTAAGACCGTATAAAATATTTTACTTGTTAAAAATAGTAACTGTTTTTTGGTACCACAGCTGTGATCACTGTTACAGCTGTGAACCGTCCTGACACGTACTATAAGCATGATTGCATGTGGCTCCACCTGTTTTTGAAAATGTTTACCGTGTCTACAGTCTGCAAGAATTATTCATGCATTGAGAAATATATCCCCCGGATTCATTAACTGTTCAGTAAATTTCGTTTTATGTCTGTGAAACAGATGATATGATGAGTGCAAAAAAATAGTCCTGTGTAATTTACTTGAATGCAGATGCTTTTAATGATGTCACACACAAGTCAGGTCATTAGTGCCAATGACTAACGTCTGACATAACGAATGCTTGTATTGACACTTGTTATACGACCCAGTTCACCCTCTCTACACATGAAGTTTGTGATAAAAGCAAAAGAAAATATGTGTTTCTTGCAAAAAGTGACATAAGTTGAAGCTAACCGTCTTTTAGTTTTGTTGCATTGAAAGAAATCATTGATATGATTGGGATAGTAGCTGATGGAGGATTTAGGCCCTGGTTTGTGGGCTTTTGGCACAGGAGGTTCTTATTTATGTGTGTTGAATTTGAGTTACATTCATTAAAATTCGGTTTCTTAAGTTGTACCTTCAATTGAAGTTTGTGTGTTACAGTACTCTGCTATTGATAATCTCCCCTTGTAGGAAAACTGCTATCGAGTGGGTTATTTAACAGTTATAGTCAAAAGGAAATCATATAAATTCTTTAAGTACAAGGTTGTGCAAAGAAGTTGTGAGCGTACTTTTTTAAAATTTATTTCAAGAGCTGCAGATATTAGCAACCTGGATTTTTTTAAAAGTAGTCTCCTGCCAATTCTTAACAATGTTCTCAGCACTATGGCCACTGTTTGAAACAGCATTTAAAGTCCTGAACAGGAATGTCTCAAAAGTTTTTTCACAGATTTAATAACCTCAACATCCAAGAAACGCTTTCCTTTCAGCACACTTTTGAGCTTTGGAAACAGCCAGAAGTTAGCTGGAACCAAGTCAGGAGATTATAGCAGATGATCTATTTTACTTGGCAATTTCTGCAGTTTAACACAAAGTTTCACATTTGCTTTCTGTTCCATCATACACTGTATTTTCACATCTGGACAAAGTTGACACAGTGATGAAACACGCTGCCATTCAACGATCACTGCATGCAGCTTATCCAGACTTTCCATGTGAGCTGTATCTTGTTGCATCACCTAACATACCAAGTAACAGCGTTGCTTGATTGCCTGGCACGAAATTAAAAAAGAGTCTTGAAACTTATTTGCCTGACCTTGTACATAATTAATATTATTAGAATTACTGTATTCTCCATTATTTCTTTTAAAAATGGTTCTGGAATGATCAGACATTTTTTCATTAGAAAGAAAAGCTTGGTAGTTATGTAAACATGCCATGGAAGAAAATATAACTGTCTTCTGAGACATAATGTCATGTAGTCTTGTAGAAAGTAAGTGAAATTTTGGGCTGCACCATAGCTCAAGCGGTTAGTCGCTGGCTTCCCACTGTGGCGGCCCGGGTTTGATCCCGGGTCTGGTCAAGTGGGATTTGTGGTGGACAAAGTGCCTCTGGGGCAGGTTTTCTTCGAGTACTTCGGTTTCCCCTGCCAATCTTCATTCCACCATTTGCTCCACAATCACCCTCACCTATCATCTGGGGCTGGTATAATAGGCCAGAAGTGGCCGCAGTACAAGGGACTTAGTTCCACCACACTAGCAATAAAAAAAGTGGAATTTTAGGGAAACCACTTTGAAGATGGAGCCTTGGGTTACTCTGAAATAACGGTAACTTTGTGTTGAACTCTGTGATATTGTATTTCAGAAGACGGTAATCTTCATATTCATTGCTGTGATGACCTTGAACCTTTCATGTTGTGGAAGGAATTGATGTCTAATCAACCTCAAAAGTCGCTCTGTCTTGGAATGCTTTAATGGTTGAATCATCAGTTGATGTTAACTCTCTTACATGAAGGATCACAAAATGTTGAGTCAAACATGCTCCTCATCATCTTTATAGAGTTCAATTATTTTTTTTTCCTAGTGTCCATAGTAATATAAAGAATCCTCTTCATTCCCTTTTACGAGTTTCACAAAATAATATTCCCTATTAATGAGAAAAACCGTCTTTTACATTAAGTGCTTAATACTGAGCAAGATGGTTCAAGCAGTAACACTTCTGATCTATAATCATGAGGTATTAGGTTCACACCTTGGCCAGTACATTCGTGATCCCAACTGAGAGATTTCTCATTATTTTCTCAAGTCCCTCAAGGCAAATACCATGATAATATTTCTAACTAGGTCATTACTGCTTCTTTCCACTTCCTATTCATTTTATTAATTACTTATCATCATTTCCTACAAGGCCATGAAGTCTGTGTTACTGATAGCGTTTGTTAGACCATAAACAATAAGTATTATTTTTTTTTCTTATTGCTAGTGGTGTGGGATGAAGCCCCTTGTACTGTGGCCGCTTCTGGCCAATTGTACCGGCCCCAGATGATAGGTGAGGGTGATTGTGGAGCAGTTGGTGGAATGGATTGGCAGGGGAAACCGAGGTACTCGGAGAAAATCTGCCCCAATGCCACTTTGTCCACCACAAACCCCACTTGACCAGACTCGGGATCGAACCCGGGCTGTCGCCGTGGGAAGCCAGCGACTAACTGCTTGAGCTATGGCGTGGCCTAAACAATAAGTGAGTCATATGTTTAATAATTAACCATCTTCCAACCCAAACTCACTCTTTTCCATTATTTTCAGGCCATTTAGAGTAAGTGCTCTTTATAGACTTATGTTTTAATACTTTAAGCATAGTATAGTCAGTACTGTGATATAATGCAGTGTTTATTTTATGCCGTGTTCAATAAGTAATTTGAAGTTTTACTGTACTGACTTTGAAGAATACTGCCCTCTGGGATGAGCCACTGTAAATGTTTACCAGCATTTCTTAGAAACCTGCTGGTAGAAAAGGAAGCTACACAGATCACTCTTCTACCCTTAAGTGGAGGTAGCAGCTTCCTATGAAACACTGATAACTTTTTAGTACACTACACATCAACTCATACCAAATTACAGTAATCTCCAGTTAACTGATGTTTTTACCTGCCCTTCTGCTTATTCTGGTAAATGAACTTTGTTGTCTTACATTATTTTTGTATGTCATACTCTTACATATGCTCACCACATTTTCTATCTCTTTTTTGAAAATGTGGTAGGATATTAAATATGTTTTCTCTTAATATAGGCTTACATGAAATAGGGGTACACTAGATGTCACGTGCTGTAATCGTCTGGTAACTTGTGAATTCCACGACTGCATCTGTGAAGACTTCTGTCTTAATAAGGTCTTTTTAAGTTCTCTCAAGTCATTCCAGGGAAATGGTGGAATGGGTAATGGACTGTCATTCCAGGATGATCCCTTAAAACCAGCCCTCCTGAACCTCCCTCAACATCTGGTGGTACATAACCTCAGTAGTATCTGATTATTGGAGGCCACTGAGTTGCATGAGTTGAGTCAGCTGTCACAAACTTACCTGTCAAGAGGTATTTTGGTCAGTTTTCTGATGGTTGCATATGAGACAAGTTGAACAAGGAGTGTTTAGGATGTTGATCCTCCTCCTCTAACATTCCACTTTGTGTGGATCATCTAACAAACAAGTCCTTCCACCTACTTCTGTCTTTCCAAAACTCCTCCTGAATTCCCTCTCGTGTTCTCTTCTTCTGCATGAAGTCTTTTGTAACTTGTTTCCAAGATGATTTTAGGCTCTCTTGAACGTTTTCCTTTTCACTTCATGTTCAGAACTATTTTGGAGGTTCCTCATCATTCTTAATGTGCCCATGCCACCTTATTCTGCTACTTATCCCCCATTGTATATGTATTTAAATTATCTCTAATTTTTCCATTTCTTGTTCTTTCTCTCCAGGTTCTTAAACATTGCTAAATCATATCTTGTGTTTTCCGGAGACTAGGCTGTTTACTGAAAGAAATTTCAAAATACATATCAGGTAGCCATTAGCGTAGTGATAGTAGTGACCGTAAAAATACATGTTGTATGATTCCTATACTGAATACTCTGCATAGTAAAATTGTGCATAATCAGTCCAGATGTTAGTAAATAAGATCTAAAATTTGTAATGATGGCATAGTAAAACAATTATTGTGTTTCTGGACATTATCCATTGTCCCGTTATTCATTTAAAACCCACAACATTTCAGAGACTGAATTCTGTCTCCATCTTCAGGTGAAACCTATTCATTTGGGCCTAACTGATAGAGCTAGTCCCTATGTCTGAGACATTGTGGGTTTTAAATGAAAAATGGGACGATGGATAATGTTCAGAAACACAATGATTATGCTTAAGTCCAGTGGTGGAACCATAAAAATCTCCTTGTGTTTAATGTATTTTTGAACTTTGTCCATTGTGTGATATCCTAAAGAACATGACATTTTTGGAACTTAATCTTGTTCTATTCTCAGATGAGAGGGTGGGAGACACTTACACTGTTAGGTCTGTGATTGCTGTAAATGTGATTCTGTCAGTGGAACATTATGTAGTGATTATACAAGGTGGGGCGCAGAAACTTCCTTTGTGTGAAGACGCATTGTGAATGGAGGGGAGGTCGCAGAAAAGTTGGGATAGGCTCGGCGAACGCAGCAGTCATAGAAGTTTCTCTCTAATACCCCTCAGTAGGAAACATGAGGTGGACGAGTGAGCAGCGTGCGTTTACTGTTGAAGCGTATTTTTCGAACAACCATTCCTACGTGGCGGTGCAGCGTGCGTTCCGTACTCACTTCGGAATTAAGCCCAGAGGTCTGGTTCCTGACCAGAAATCGATTGTTTTATGGGTAGAGAACTTTAGGACAACCGGGAGTGTGGTGGAAAAATCATCAGGACGACAACGGACTGTTACAACGCCAGAAAATGTGGAGGCAGTTTGACAGTCGATTTTGAGATCTTTTTTGAACCATCTCTTGAAGAAATGCATCTAGGAAATGTGTGGTTTCAACAGGATGGTGCCACGGCCCACACAGCCCGAGCTTCGATGACAGTTTTGAGGGCAAAGTTCCCCGGGCGGCTCATCTCGCTTCAAGGTGACATCCCATGGGCAGCCCACTCACCTGATCTAACGCCCTTTGATTTTTTTTATGGGGATACCTCAAGGCAGAGGTTTTTAAACATCGCCCCACAAACCTGCTTCAGCTGAAGAATGTTATTCAGCAGGAAGTAGCTCAAATTCTGGTGCACATGATGGAACGTGCAGAGTGGAACTTCAGAAAACGGTTGCATCACTGCATAGAGAATGGTGGCCACCACCTTCAAGATATTTTGTTTAAAACTTTAAAGTATGTTCTTTCATTAGCTAAACATAAATTTTGTCTGTCAGCAGTAATTTTTCTTTTATTCGCCTTCAAAAAAGGAAGTTTCTGTGCCCCATCCTGTATATGCAGTTCCATTAGCAGACATATACTTTATTACTAAGCTGGTTGGAATAACAGTAACACTTTAGACTTGTATTTTGGAGGGGCTAAGTTAAAATCCTGGCCATGACCCTGGCAGTCTTGACTGAAGTTTTCGTCAGTACCCCAGGCATATGCTAGGATAGTACCTCAAAGAGGTGATACTCACATCCTTCCAAATACAGTACTTCCCTATTTATTATTGGTTATTATCCAAACATTTAATGCTTTTGAGGCTCAGATGGCATCTTAACATGACTTACAAATCACATACATATATTGTCAAACTAATTTAATAATACATTGGTCCTTAGGAGACATGATGGTAGTGCAGTAGAGTCATGGGTAATATTTGAGTGGGAAGAACAATTTAGACTGTTGAATCTACTGAAATATTTGCGAAGATTGCAGGTGTATAGACAGGGTTCATACAAAGAGGAAGAAAGATGACAGTGATTCTCAAACAAGTGAAAAGAAAAGTTTACTGCCACAGGAGTGCCAATCTTAGAACTTTGTTTTTAAAAGAAAGCCCAGAGCCTGACTTCAGATAGAAGGTGATTGGGTGTATATTTTTAAAAGCAAACTCGAAAGCCTCATCTTCTAAAAACATACTTGTCACTGGAAGAAGTTTTTGAGGTCAGGCTTTCTGTTTTGTTTCCACAAATGAACGTCTGAAGTTCACAGTGCTAACCTGGAGGACAACATGACAGTTACCATAAAGTTCCTTGAGTCACTCTGTATTGCATAAGTACTGTTTGGTTTGTGTGAGATTTGTTGTTTCCATAGCAGTAAATGTGAACAGCACTGTCTTCTGGAATGCAGTGACATGTAGCCTCACAGAAAGATGATGTTTCAGAGGGACCTCCTGCCCATATTTTCATGGTTTAATAGTGAGACTGGTGATGGAAGCTGGAGAGAGTTCTTTGTGAGAAGATTTTTAATATCACCAGTATGACACTGTGTGGCACTCAAGACACATATCTACTGTATCTCAGTACAGACACCTTGTCTATTGAGGTGTCTCTCTCACTGTGAGTTGAAGTTGTTCATACCTTGCAGTACAAGTCTGGGCTCAGCTCCAATAGCCATTGAAACACTACATGTTAAATGCAGCTGTGCTGAATTGCTTCTCAGAAAGATATTGCTTTAAAGGCCTAAATTAGTGGAAGTTGGAGCAGCACCTTTCTGGAAGGCACTTCAACAGAGACGTGGACATTCAGCTTGAACTGTGCTACTAGCTGCTGGAGTTTAGCCCAAACTTTACTCCAAGGGTGTGGACAATCTTATCTCATGGTGCAGCAGAGACTTAATAGGCAAAGTAGCACAGAAATGTGCCTTAATGGTCATGTGATGTCATACCAGAAAGAATGAAAGTCTTGTCACAGAATATAATGATACCTTATTTTTTGAACCTCACTGTTATCTTATTTCACAATGCTCACATTGCTGCATGCGTATGAAGGTACTCATTTCATATATACCTGTCTTTCCCTTTAGTGTGACAGTTTGGGTAAAATGGTTGTGATATGGAATGTCCTGGTGATGGTAATTGTAGTTTGTCTTGCAGGAAACATTTTACATTTTATAGGAAACAATGAAAAATGTCAAGTATTTGCCATTCTTTCAGTAGCTGTGAATTTGATTTACAGTGGGGTATCACTGCTTTGCACTTCTGGGAACCTTTGCTTTTCCTGCTTAACGCTGAAAATGTTATACAAGTGGAGCTGGAATGGGTCAGCAAATGGCCCAGCTCCGTGACATCACCCCATTGGAGTTGAAAAGGTTCATATTTTTCCCTGTTGCTTAAGGAAATGTGTAAAAGGAAACCCTACTTACTTTAGGTTTTGTAACTGTACCAGGTTTGAAGTGACAGATTTTGATATATCATGTAAATATTGGTGTCTCTGAGTTCTGACAGTGGTGTGTACTGTGTTAGGTTGTGATTTTATGTTGTTTTGCAGAAAGGCACCAACATCTGGAGGAACCAGCTGCCTTCATCTTGTAGCATGAAGATGGAGGGGACAGCAGGTTTCTTCAGAATGTTGTTACCCATCTTTCAAACTACACAGTCCTTATATTGATGGCTGTGAAGAGTACCATCTTGTGGAATGTGATGCCATGTAGTCCAGTAGAAGATTACCAGCATTTCGGAGAAACATACTGCCTCCATCTTCAGGGTTCAAAGAGTAAGCCAGAATGTTGGTAAACTTCTGCCAGGCTGCATATCATCACATCCCAGAAGGTAGCACTCTTGAAGGCTTATGTTGTTTGTTAAAAGACGAAATATTTTAATTTTATTACTACGAACATAAAATAGAATGTTATGTTTTAATTGTTTCAGTTCATGTGTTATCAGAGTAGGTTAGTATAGTGGTAACTGTTGGAAAGTACAAGTCATGCATCATGCATGACTTTTTGTGTGTGGGCTGGAGGTAAAAAAAAAAGCTATCCCTGTAATAAGCCATGGAGGCTCCTACAGTTTCTAAACATTCAGCCCTACGCGGCGGCTGCCCTGTACCCCCAGGAAAGTTCCTGGTACTCATTTCTGTTAGAGGCTATGTTGACCCCAGGATCATAGTGCAGCTGGAAAGATTAGGTCAGTTGAACTATCCAGTGACCTTATCGGGAATCGAACACATGACCTTTGGGCTTTAGTGTGTGGGGGAGCTATTTAATAATCCTTCCAGTCAGTGTACCTTATGGTATTGAATGATAGCATGATAGATGAATTGGGAAGGATTTGGAAATGGTTATGGCCTAATTGGGGTACTTTCCTGGCATTTGTTTGGAGGGACTGAAGAAAACCACGGGAAATCTCGGTCTGGCTAGCTGGTCTCATGGTGGAGATTCGAACCTAGCACCTCCCAAATACCAGTGTAGAGCTTTACCACTATACCATCCTGCTTAGTGAGTTAGTAAGAGCTCCCTTTGCATTATTCTTTTCTGTGTTTTTCATTATTGTATATATGTGGTGTAGATATGACAGATTTTGTTATTAGGTTTTTACTTAATTGTGTCTGACTTTGTTGATTTATGTTTTTTCACCAGTTATTACATTTTATATCTGGAATATGCTGTTCTCTTTCATTGTCTTTGGTGTACTGTTGTATGGATAATAAGAAGTGATGCATATCTTAGCATATCTTCTTTTACAGGGATTTGTTGACACATTTGCTGCCATTCCTTTCATCTGACAGGTTGACATTTACGGTGTGCCAATGCTGATCTCGTCCAGTGAAACACTGTTGCCAGTATATGTAGAAATGTCATTTTATCTTACAAATGTCACTCGAGTGCAGAGAAAGTTTGAAATGTAGCTTGTTGAAGCTCAGAAGTGTCTACATATGGAGTGATTATTGACTGTTTTTCTTGCTGTCTTCCATGTCTGTTTTAAATGTATTGTGACAAATTTACTCAAGGCAAGAACTGTGAAGCAAGCAGAGACAACTGTTACTGAGTAACAGTTTTGCAAACGACCACGTTTCCACAGCAACAGTTGTATACAACAGTAATGGGAAGCAGTGTTTATTATGCGGTCTCTGACAAGATGTTATAATCAGGAAGAGTCAGTTGAGTTGAGTTAGTTTGTTGGTGAGTGACTGAGTTAGTGAGTTGGAGAACTGCTGGTTGTGGTTGTGAGCTGTTGCTGTGAGAAGCTGGCAGCTGAGGCTACAGAAAGTTTAGGAACCAAGAGGAAGAGACAGATACACCATTGGAAGCTGCTACCGAGCTAATGAAGACGTGACTGTGGATGCTTGTGTGTGTGTGTGTGTGGGGGGGGGGCTGTTAGCGTATGTGGTAATGAATTGTAAAGTGTAGTCACGCACTGTATCAGAGAGTCCAGTTATCTGCTCATGAATTCAAAACTCATCTTTAGTCATTCAAGTCACATGACAGTATGTTCAAAATCCCCGTCCCAGAAGGCCAAATCCAAGTAGAAGACATGGAGCTGAGTGTATTTTATTTGAGCCATGAAAACAACTTGATGCTGTGTGGCAGGGGAAACCGAAGTACTCGGAGAAAACCTGCCCCATCACCACTTTGTCCAGCACAAATCCCACTCGACCAGACCCAGGATTGAACCCGGGCCGCTGCAGTCGGAAGCCAGCGACTAACCGCTTGAGCTATGGTGCGGCCATCATCTGCTACTTACTGTATGCCTTGTAGAGTAATATAATGCGTGATGATGTACGCAGTTCCTTCAATTTACATACGTTTAAGTATGTATATATATATATATATATACACAAGTTATATAAAAGAAATTAAATGTATATATATAAATTGGGCGAAGTATATTACTACAAAGGAGTAATCGGTTACACAAGGGAGGTCTTCCTTTCCTTGCCACCATTGTAGTTGATGACCAGTTCTCTCAAGAGAATGCATTCTTTGTTTTCCATATAAAATTTTCTAGTTCTTTGGCACTTCAGTGACGTCTGTAATAGAAAATAACATTTACATACACAGTAGTAACAGCCCATCGTTTGAGACTGGTGCTGGCTCATAGTACATTTCAACCCATCAGGTGACAGGGTTGGAATTTACATGAAGAGACTGAAGAAAATCACAAAGAAATATTCAGGCAGTCTCCAGGCCAGGAATTTGAACTGCTCCAAAATATGAAGCCACTTGACCTTTACTATTGTCGTCACTGTTGGCCTCATGGAATCTTGCATAGTGGTTAGAGAAGTCACCACTTTAGCCCGTATTCATTTGTTAGATTGTTTGAAAGCAGTTTGTTTCATAGAGAACACGTGAATTTATAGGAGTGACCCAGCAGTGGGGAAGAAGATGGAGGGTCCTGAGGTGACATTCATCTTCCAGTTTGGACTGGTGCGGGACACAGTAACGGCAGCAGCCAGCACGTTGGGCCTCAAGACCCTCAAAGATCTTGCGTGTGACTTCATTAACAGGAAGGTGGGTACAGCCAGCAATCTAAGGTCCAAGTCCCACAAAGTTCTTGCATGCAACTACTTCGAACAGAAGGTGGGCACAGCCTTAAGAGTGCAATTAGAAGTGTGGGGAATTGTTGACCTTTTGCTGCTTGGAGACAAATTCTGCCAGCCACAAACTTTTATCTTCACCTTCTAGCATCATTGCTGTTTTATGCAGGTTGAGTTAACGTGCTTGCAGATTTTGTATGTTGGAGAGTTGTGACACTTAGCATAAATTATTCATGTTATATTCTTAAACTTATGAAATTGTATTTTGTCCCATAATACATGGTTATTTAATAAAAAAATGCCATCTGTAATAATACATTATTTGTAACCCTTTCACTGTTATCAGTACACACCTCCATAGCCTGTTGCAGTGGAGTAGCTTAAGTCTTCAGACTTAGAACACACAGTTGTGTGGGATCTGGCTTTTTATCACATTTTTGTACATAGCCATGTGAATACTGTACAGCACTAATGTGAATTTTGGAAAACCATTGCTCTTAAAAATGGATCTTTTCCAGGTCTGAAACTGTGGATTAATACAGCAGTAATGCTGTAGGCTTTAATTCAGTATATATTCTGTTCAGATTTGGGCTGAATTGCTGCCTGTCCTAATTGAGGTTTGTTGTGGTTTTACTCAATCTCAAAGTGATTGGTGCGATAGTAACTTGACATACATGATGATTGACTATGACCATCTCATTAGATTCTGTGCTTACAGCAGCTAAAACAGTTAACATAGAATCAGTCTGTGTCTGAAAGGGGAAATATGATTGAGGCAGATGGCTGACATTCAGGATGATTGTGTCTTGAGTTCTTAGGTGATTGTCATCTTGTTTGATTTAACCAAGAGTTTTTTTTTATCATATTGTCTTTTAGTGGCACTGATTATAACTTTGTGTGTGTTGCAGTTCCCCGACCATGGTCTGACAAGGCTAAATGAACGTCTGTTGCTGTTTCGCCATGATTATGGATCTGCCAACATTCTGCAACATATCAACTCAGCAGCCGAAATCATGGATGAAACTCTTGTGGAGATAGTTCTTTCTGCTCAAGTGCCAACAGAAGAGGTCCCTTTCCGTCCACATGCCCTGGCTGTTCACTCTTACAAAGCTCCAACATTTTGTGACTTCTGTGGAGAGATGCTGTTTGGTTTGGTTAGACAGGGCCTGAAATGTGAAGGTGAGGCACCATTGAAAGTTCTTTTAATATCCAGGTCATTTCAGCTCAAGGAAGTTACAGTGTGGGTGACGTGCTTGTATTAGGGAAGTAAGAAATGCATGCCGAAGTTTTGTGGGGCTAGTTCCTAGAAAGTGATAATATGGAGCACTGACTTCTTCTGATTCACTGGCTGGTAAAATGGCAGTGGGTTTTCTAAGTATTGTATCCATCTGAAATTGTGAAATATACATGAGCAATACTCATGCAGATCTTCATATTGTGATCTCCTGGGTTAAAACACTTTGATATGTTGTAGGTCACTACTAGAATTTGAGACGAAGTTACTCGAGGTAGTATGTTCTTTCAAAATGTTTGCACCAAGCAAATTGGTTCAGGCAGAACAACTTCTGACTTGTGTTTAATAGGCGACTGGTTCAAAGTTTGGCTGGTACACTAACTATTGTGATGCTTTTGTGGTTTTTCTTAGTCCCTTCAGATAAATGTCTGGATAGTATCTTGAAATAGGCCATGACCATTTCCTTCTACATATTTTCCAAATTAATAATCGTCTGTCACCATAAAATATGATAACTATATAGTCTTAGCTGCTGATAACATTGGTAAATAAAATAATAAATAAATAAACAAAATGTAAGTTTTGAGGTTTTCACGGTGATGACTATGAAGAAAGTCGTCTTCTGGGTTTAGGCGCCGTGTAATCTTCGAAGATTACACGGCGCCTAAACCCAGAAGACGACTTTCTTCTAAATAAATAAAATGTTGGTACCTATCAACCAGGCTACATGTCATAACCCAAAAGACAGTATAAATCTTAACGGCTGTGGAAATCTAGTTATTACACATCCAGACATGTTTATTATATACAGTAGGATTTGAGACTTTCACAGCATTGGTTAAGAAAAGTTCTGTCTTTCGTGCATAATGCTGTGTAGCCTTTTGAAAGCCAGCTGCTGTTTCAGAACATGTCACCTCCATCTTGTAGGATTGAAGTCTAAGCCAAGCATGAAAGCAGTGTGTGCTACCTGCTACATGCTGATTCTGGCTTATTCTTTAACCCTGAAGTTGGAGGTGACATGTTCTTCCAAATTACTGGTTGGCTCTCAGTAGACTACATGATGTAATATCCCAGAAGATGGACCTCTTCATGTTTGTATGCATTACACAAATTAATGGCTGTGTGAGGCACAGTGTTGAAAGTCAGCATCCACAGTGAACGTGACACATGGAGCTGAAACTAAAAATTTGGCTGGACAATCTGTAAAAGTGAAACATGAAATTTCTGTTCTCTGATCATTGATACCAACATTACTTGTGTGGTAGAAGCATTCACATAATGGTCAATTTGCCGGTAACCTATCAGAATATATGTAGGTACTGAAATCGGCAGTAACCTTATCACGAGTTGTTTGAAGGGAAAGTGTATGCGTTGTATTCAAGCAAATATGTTGTTCTGATTTTTACGTGAACATGAAACATTTCAGTGATTAAAATTATTTTCCATCCCTTCCCACATGTTTGCATGCCTGATTGAGGCTCTCACGATGATGATTATGAAGATTTCTGTCTTCTGGAATGTGATGCCATGTAGTCTGGTAGTGAGACCAATATTCCAGAGCAACCTGTTACGTAATCTTCAGGGTACTTCCCCCCTGAAAATGAAGGAGTCACATACCAGAAGACATAATTTCATACTAATATATATTATCTAACACTTGCATTTATTGTTCTAGGCTGTAGCCTCAACTTTCATAAACGGTGTGTTGTCAAAATCCCGAACAATTGCACGTCTGTGACTGGAAGGGGGCGCCGCTCATCTGCTCTTGTCCCACGCAGCCCATCAGACACAGGGTCCACAATCTCTCTTCTGTCAGCCACTGAAGAAAGCACACAAGTAAGTTACCATGTCTATTGCTGGTATGTGTGGATTTCCATATAATTTGTAAGCTGAACAAAATATGTAATCTCAACATTGTTATGAATAGAGCTTCAGAAGTATGTTTACCTGCTTGTCACAAGTGAGTAAATGGAGACTGCCAGTTGTGAATATAGGAAGGGAAGTAAAAAGTTATCTGCACTCTTGTTTTTCCAATTTATATACACAAAACTAGGGGTTGAACAAGTACATAATTTTTCTATATAGTCTCCTTCCTTCTCGATGCACTTGGTCCAGCGGTCCACAAGCTTGCGTATTCCCTCCTAGAAGAAGGTTTTCGGTTGGTCGCGCAACCATTTATGCACCTCTTCCCGCACTTCTTTGTCCGTAGAAAAATGATGACCTTGTAAAGCATCTTTGAGCGGTCCAAATAGATGATAGTCGGAAGGGGTGAGATCTTGGCTGTAGGCAGGGTGTTCCAGCACCTAAACGGTTAATGGTTTCAACGGTCTGGCCGGTCATGTGTGGGTGTGCATTGTCATGCAACAACAACACTTTCTTTGACAGTAGGCCTTGGCATTTGGTGCGAATTGCTGGCTTCAGATTGTTTGCCAGCAAATAGCTGTATCTTGTACTGTTGACCGTACACCCTTTTTCCAGGTAGTCTTCCAGTATAGGCCCTTTTGAGTACCAAAAAAGCAGTTAGCATCAACTTTCCCATGGAAGATTGAGTCTTGAATTTCTTGTCTGGCCACTTTTAAACTTTTCGATCCACTCATACACACTTCTACGTGGTAGAGCACTGTCCCCTTATTGTGCTGAAAGCCTCCGAAGAATTTCAGCCCCTGACACACCTTTCAACCAGAGAAATCAGATCACTGTTCTTTGTTCCTCCTTGGTGCACACTGCTAGCGGAGTGGCCATGTTTACACTGTCACAGCATCAAGGAAAATGACACGATGACACACCTTTCAACCAAGAAATCGGATCACTGTTCTTTGTTCCTCCTTGGTGCACACTGCTAGCGGAGTGGCCATGTTTACACTGTCACAGCATCAAGGAAAATGACGCGATCGAGGTCAAACTTCGATCATGTGACCACAGTAGTACCAACTCTAAGCATGCATGCACAGAAGGCAGTGTGACAAATATAAAGATGTGTTATGGCGAAAATGCAGATAATTTCTCACTTTCCCTCATACATTTAACCTCAGCCTAGATACATTAAAACATTTGATAAACGATTTATACACAGAAGTTGTGCATAAGAATTGTACACTTCACCAAGTATAATTAGGATGATCAAGTCAAGGACGATATGGGCAGGGCATGTAGCACGGATGAGGGAGAAGAGGAATGCATATAGGATTTTGGTGGGAAAGGCAGAAAGAAAGAGACCGCTAGGAAGACCAAGATGTAGTTGGGTGACCAGAACATGTTGTGAACTAAGAAGTAAAGAGACTACAATGAATTGCATTAGTGATGGATATATATTGTATGAAACAAATGATATATTTTTGCAACATGATACTTAAATACAACATAATGAACCTTCAGGTTCCATAAAATGTTGGGAAATTCTTGAGTAGCTGCACAATTTTCAGCTTCTCAAGGACACCTTATCTCCTTGGAGGGAGTTATCCATGTGTCAGATGCAGAAAGATTGCATTATAGTACTTTCCTTCCCTAGCCTTAGCATGTAACATAGTCACAAGCTATGCAGTGACCTTTGATATTGAGAATGACATATTTTTGTGAAATGCATTTTCCTACTCACCATTCCCAGTGGCCCAATTTGGGTTCCATTTCATTACCCCCTCCTTTGGGTTCCGGGGATCACCTGCCCATATAACGGATCTGATTCTGTAACCTACACACTTTGAAATGTCTGTATCTGCCTACAAGACTGAGTGGTGCCATAATGTAGACAATCACAATCTGAAATTCTTAAGTGAAGTCTTCTGTGAAACTTTGTTTGAGTGAATTTTGTTGAGTGGCTGATAAGTATAATTTGTATATACAGGGTGTCCCAGGAGGAATGTGCCAAACTTCGGGAGGGTGTTCCTTATGTTATAGTATGCCGATATAACCCAAAACACCTATGTTCAAAGTTGAACGTTTACGGAGATAATGGCCCGAGAAAAGTGTGGTCTTCTGGCGAGTCCACGCACTGCACCTGTCAGCTGGCATGTCTTATCTATGTTTGTCCTCGAGTGGGGTGATGGAAGCTCACGTTAGTCCCATACACTCGCATACCAGAACGAGCAGTCAGCAATGTTACGTCAGCACTTGCCATTCATGTGTCATGTATAGTGCTTGGAACTCTTAACGACAATTTTGACATGGCGTGCGAGTTTTTTGTAGTTCAATTTAATGGCTTCATGTCACTCACAAGTTAGTTTGATGTTACGTACATTATTAACATTACAGAAACCACATATTCCTGCCAGTTTTAATATGTATTTTGTAATCAACAAGTGTGTAACACCGGTCAAAGTTTCACACTTCTCTGGCCATTATCTCCGTAACCGTTCAACTTTGGACATAGGTGTTTTGGGTTATATCGGCATACTTTAACATAAGGAACACCCTCCCGAAGTTTGACATATTCCTCCTGGGACACCCTATATGGAGTCCATTTTCATTGTCTGTTTTTGTCATTTTATCACTATTGGTATACTTACAGCTCCTTTCTAGTAATGTCGTACCGAGACAAAGCCGTTCTCCTTCATTGGGTGGGCGCACAGCAGACAAAGAAGCAACGGGACGTATACGGATCCCCCACACATTTGTTCTCCATAGCTACATGCGCCCCACTGTCTGTCACTTCTGCCGGAAACTTCTTAAGGGAATCATCAAGCAAGGGATGCAGTGCAAGGATTGTCATTGCAATGCCCATAAGAAATGTGTGGATAAGATACCAAAAGACTGTATTGGTGAGTCCCTTCCAGCTGCTTTTGTGTTAAATGAAATCGTTTTGAAATTTATACATATTTTGTACATTTTCCATACATTGTTTTGGTTAAAGAAACAAAACATTTTGAGAGCTCTCTATTTCTGTCATTAGGCAGATCTATGAAACCTACTCTGTTGATGCCATATAATGAGTTCTTTTCATGAAACATGCAGTTAGTGCAGTAATATTGTACTGTGTTCGGTGACTGAAGACGCCATTCATATTAGTATTTGGGTTTATAAACCACTTTGTTATACACTCTTAGTTATACTCAATTTCAGTTCTGTTGCTGATTTACAGACTTTCCAGTTCACCGTTGCACACACCCTAGGATTCTCTGTCTTCCACTAGTTGTCCCCTAGCAGCGGATCTCCACACAGAAACTAGCACTCAAATCACTACAAGTATTACACATGAAATCTTCTAGTCACACTTTATATCGCCACTCTTAAATACTCCTGAATACTGCCTAAATACTGACTTCTGTTCCGCCGAATACAGTCGTTATATAGCCTCCACACTGACCATGCAGAAAACAGCCTATATTGTGGGAACATGTTTACTGAACAATTGCCCGGCAATGGTTGCAGCACGGACTCCACTGTTGCGTGGTGTCAGCCTAGTGTGGAAGGAGTGTTTACTGAGCATTGCATAGTGACGAGTTGGGTGGGAGTATATGACATCATTTGTGGAAACACAGAGGCCACATGACTCCTACTCACTAGTGCTATGATGTCATTGCTCCTGTGTGGAAGTCTTGTTTACTGGCTGGCGCTTAGAAGCAGGTTGGATACCCTTGTTCCACTGTAGCATAACTTAGCAACTGACTGTTTATCAAGTCTGTCTTCGTGGTAACTCGTTCCACATCCTGTCGCCCAACAACAGGTTATACCGCTTGTACCATGTTCACAAAGGGCCTGCTAGTGGTCCCTATCCTGAGCCAGAAAAATTACCCCCCCCCCCAATCCTTTTTATCCAAGATACCTTCTAATGTTGCCATCCCAACTACTACTAGGTTTCCCTAGTGGTCTGTTCCCTTCAGGTTTCGTATCAAATCACTGTGTTCTCTCTTCTCTTCTCTTATATGTGCTACTTGCCTTGCCAATCTCTTCGCTCTTGACTTAACCATTGTAATATTTGTTGAGGAGTGTAAGTTGTAGAGCTCCTCAGTATGTAGTTTTCTCCAGCCTCCTATTATTTCATCACTCTTAGGTCCACATATTCTCCTCAGCACAGTTTTGTCTGTCAGATGAAGTTAATGGTGTTATAATTGAATAATGTCTTGCACAGCCACCCAGAATGAATGCATGCCCCATTACAGTATTGCAGTGCATTGTTGGTATGGGTGAAACACCAATACTGTAGTTTTGACATTGTCTTGAATTGTTTCTGCGCGCTAGTACAGAAGCTGTAAATGGCAGCTTGGGTGACTCAGATATGTACTGTATTTAAGCACTGAAGATGCTGACTGAGCTGGATGCAGCATAAATGGTGGAACTGGTTTGTTGTGCTTTCAGCAGGAGATTATCCGGATAGTGGAGTTGGCAGTGAACCAGACCGTGAATGTCGTGATGTGTGTGAGGATGAGAGTGACACAGAAAATGGAGGCTCTCCACATGGTGCACGCAAAACATCATCTTCAGAGCCTCCGCTCATGAATGGAGAGTGCGTCGTAAGTTACCTCAGGGATTGCTGTAATAAAATATTGCATATATTTAGTAATAATGAAGTGAGATCTGAGGTTCCCACAGCGGCAGTTGCAGTAAAACTCCCATTTCTGATTTTTGGGGGGGGGGCGGAGTTTGCATTGGTTTTGATGAAAATTTTAAATGGTGAACATTTTAAGACTGAGGTTATTGAAATTGAATGTTAAATGAAGGAAAATCTTAGATTGAGTGGGCTTTCTGCTGCATTAAGATTGTGTTTCTTTGTGTTCTGATACTGTGTAGTTTGGTTACCAATATTTTGGAAGAACCTGCTGCCTCACTTTTACCCTGATGATGGAGGCAGCTAGTTCCTCAGATGCATGTATACCTATCTGCCATACTACTTGGTGTCATGTCCCAGAAGTCTAATCTTAGTGATGTGTTGACTTCTTATTGTGGGTCATTTAATGATGCTGCTTTGTCAAGATAGGCTGTGTCTGTAAGATTCAAACCAAGCATATCATGAACATTAGTGTAAAGCATTATTACCATCATGTCAGCCTGTTCAGTGATGAAGATGATAAGATTTAATTAAAAAAAAAATTATAATTACTTTTGTTCCTTTTGGGGGGAGCGCACAGTATTGTAGTTGGTTGAGCCACTATGCTATAAGCTGGAAGGTCACGGGTTAAAATCCTGATGAGTTCATTGGATTTTTCAATTGACCTAATCCTTCCAGCCCCACTATGGCCCTGGAGTCAACTTAGCCTCTAACAGAAATGAGTATCAGAAATCTTCCTGGAGGGTAAAGAGCAGCCGGTGTGTAAGGCTGACAACCTTACCACCATCTGTGACCCAATTGTCTAGAAAATGTGGGAGCCTCAGCTTCTCACAACCCTATAGGCCTCTGCAGCCTGTTACAGGGGCAGCTTTACCCTTTTTTTTTTAACTTGTCCTTTTGAGTTTGAAATTGCTAATGAGAAGTTGAAAAGGTATAAATTTATAAGTGGAAGAAGGGGAATAAAACGAACTGTAGTATTTATCATGGAATATCACTGTTATCAATTTCATACAAAATTTTATCCAATATCCTTCCCTCAAGGTTAAGTCTGCACTGAGATGAAATTATTTGGGAGCCTCAGTGTGGGTCTTGACATAACAGATCAACTAGCAATCACATTTTTTGCAATTGTCAGATACTGGACAAAAATGGGAGTACACTGAAACAGAACATTAGCTATTTGTAGACTTCAAGAAAGCCTACGATTCAGACAGGATGGAAGTCTTGAACAGTATTCTCATAGAATTTGGGGTACCCATGAAATTTGTTAGGCTGATTGAAATATATAGTAAAGTCCATATACGTAAACATTTGTCTGATAAGTTTCCAAACCAAAATCGTGTAAAACAAGGAGATGCTTAATTGCCACTGCTTTCCAGCTGTGCTTAGAATATGCCATTAGGAAGTTCCAGGAAAACCAGGTGGGACTGAAATTAAATGGGACACATCAGCTGCTGGTCTGTGCTGATGATGTGACTCTACTGGGAGAAAACATAAATACCATAAAGAAAAACAACATAAAGTTTAATTGATGCTAGTAAGGAGGATGGTTTAGAAGTAAACACAGAGAAAACTAAGTATATGTTGCTGTCTCGTCACCAAAATGCAGGGTAAAATTATGATATAAAAATAGCAAACAGATCCTTTTGAAAATGCAGCACAGTTAAAATATTTGGGAACAATAATAACAAATCAGAATTTGATTCAGATGGAAATTAAGAGGAGATTGAATTTGAGTAATGCTACCATTCAGTCGAAACCCTTCTGTCTTCTCGTCTGCTGTCTAAAACATAAAAATTAGAATATACAAGACTAGAATTTTACCTGTGGTTCTGTATGGGTGTGAAACTTGGTTCCTGACATTAAGGGAGGAACATAGACTGAGGGTGTTTGAGAACAGGGTGCTGAGGAGAATATTTGGACCGAAGAGAGATGAAGTGATGGGAGATTAGAGAAAACTGCATAATGAGGAGCTTCATAACTTGTACTCTTCGCCAAGTTTAATTAGAATGATCAAGTCAAGGAGAATGAAGTGGACAGGGCATGTAGCACGGATGGGGAGAAGAGGAATGCATATAGAATATTTCTGGGAAAGCCAGAGGGAAAGAGACCATTAGGAAGACCAGGACATAAGTGGGTGGATAATATTCAAATTGATTTTAGAGAGATGGGATGGTGTGGTATGGACTGGATTGCTCTGGCTGAGATTAGGGACCAGTGGAGGGCTCTTGTGAACATGGTAATGAACCTTTAGGTTCCATAAAATTTTGGGAAATTCTGGAGTAGATGCACATCTGTCAGCTTCTCAAGAAGAGCTCAGCTCCATGGAGTTAGTTAGTTTACATATTTTAATTCTTTACTGGGACATAAACATGAATCTGTACTTATATAATAAGTTCCTCAAAAAATAAAATAAAATGAAATAACATTCCTAATTGCAATAGATGAGTAGGGCTACAAATCCATGGAACAAGAAGTAAACCGTATGGTATTAGTTGGAACTCCTTTGTTTTTGAAGAGTTCTGTCTTCTGTGATATAACACAGTGTAGTCTGTTGAAAGTCAACCGACATTTTGGAGGAACATGTCACCTCAATCTTCAGGGTTGAGGAATAAGCCAAGCAAGAAACCAGCGTGAAAGCAAGTGGCAGGCAAACGGAGAGAGAGGGAGAAAGCAAGAGTGTCACTTCTTTGATGCCGTTTTCTTGCTTGGCTTATTCCTCAACCCTGAAGATTGAGGTGACATGTTCCTCCAAAATATCTGTCAATTTCAGTGCATTACACAGTGTTATATTTGAGAAGATGAAACTCTTGTTAACCACTGCTGTGACACCCTCACATCCTACAAATTATAAGGTGATTAGGTGAATAATGAAATTGAAAGGATAGAAAGTGGTCACAGCCTATCTTGAGGTGATATACTGACATTTATCTCAAGAGACTGACAAGAGGCATGAAGTACCTTGGTAAGGATGTCTGGTCCCCAGACCAAGAGCTAGTGGGTTCATTCTCCTCTCATACAGTGTTTGTAGATAAGACATCATTCTTCAGTACAGTCATGTCTGTTTGGTTTATTTTATTATTTGTGTTATTAGACAAGTTTACTTCTGCCAAATTATTTTGTTTCAGGATATGATTCCAGGCCATGATGAAGGTGATCCCAGCAAACAGTTGACCAGGTAAACATTTTATTGTGTTGGTTCTGAAAGGTTCTAATGATGGTGTATAACAGTAAGAATTACTGGGGTTTTGGACTTTCTCCATCGCCCAGTATTAAAAAAATTAGAGAACACAATGTTTCAGAAACTGAGTCTCTTTCCATCCTCAGGTGAGTGGGAGACACTGGACCAGTGATTGAAGTTAATCTCTTCTAAGGGCCCCAACAGAGTAATGTCTCCCCCCTGATCTGAGGGCAAAAACAGGCCAGGTTTCTGGAACGTTGCATTCTCTAGTTTTTAGAATACTGGACTTTGTAGAATGTCCAAAACTCAGTAATTCTGAATTTTGATATTTACATGCCCAGTGTTCCGCTTAACAGCCCTGTTTCTAGTCCTCCTGTGTCTCCATCTGTTCTGTCATTTTCCCATGACAGCGGTACCTTTCTACCAGTCTGCATGGCATCGCATCCTAGGTCTTCAAGAAAAGATACAGTGAGAACCTGAATCACCTGAAGATGACAGTACAGCCAACAAATTTTTTTTTAAGTATAATTTAGGTAACTGATAGTGTTCATCATGATTTTGCTGAATTGTAACACAATGGACACAGTTTTAATGTTGCTTATCTCACTAAAAGAAACAATGTTTCTATCAGTGATGTGGGAGATGTAACATTTTCCAACTTATTGTTGTACAGCTCTTCCCCAAGCAACAATATTCCACTTATGCGCATTGTGCAGTCAGTGAAACACACCAAACGGCGAGGGTCAAAGGTTATTAAGGAAGGCTGGATGGTGCATTTCACCAATAAGGATCGCATGGTGAGATTTGTGTGCTTATAATGTTAAGATCTGGAATAAGAATGTACAGTATTGGTGCTGGTTGGAACTGATAACAGTAACTGGTGTAATCAGCCTTGTCAGTGTTGAACTAAACACCGACATTTCAGGGATCTTCCTCCATCTCCATAGTCAGAGTCTACATCAGCCCTAACGATGGAGGCAGAAGAGATCGCTGAAATGTTTATTGTTAGTCTAAAATTGACATGGCTAATTGCCTGAGAAGATTTTAACATGTTTATTCACTATGGAAGCTTAAAATTTTACGTAGTGTATTTCTTATGTCCTGCAGCGCAAGCGTCACTATTGGCGCCTGGACACGAAGTCAGTGACACTATTCCAGAGTGATACAGGGTCAAAGTACTACAAGGAGATCCCACTTGCAGAGATCTTGTCTGTGGACACTGCTCGCAGTTTGCAAGGAGGTGGGTGGAGTTGAATCATTCAGTAGAATACAGGTAAATAAGTGGGTGACCAAAATAACTTTAAAATTTACTGCCATGGTGTCAGCGACATGTTTGCACTGCCACCCTTAAGGCGCGTCCACATTACTTGTGCTCGTGCTTGTGTGACTCACTATGCTCGCGAGTAATGTGCGATATGACAAGTCACAAGACAAGCAAATCTTAAATTTTTAATTTAAGAACTATAGCCAATAAATTAAAATACGACTACAGCCTATACACACTACTAGTAAATATACTGATCCTCACGTGCCGAAGCCCAGAGAGCAACTGAAGTAGTGTGGATGAAGATTTGTGAGCACAAATAAAAGCCATATGAGTCTTCCAATGAGCACAAGCAATGTGGACGCGCCTTTAGAAGCTTATACAGGATGTTCCAGGTGTTTGGTGCCATACTTCAAGAGCGCACTGAGGGTTCCTTATAGAACAACTTTGAAATAGGAACCCATGTCTGCAAACGTAAAATAGCAGCGCTAGGCTGGCATTTAATATCATTTGGTTTAAACTTCGCGAAATGATTTTAAATGCCGCCCTAGCACTGCTATTTTACGTTTGCGGACATGGGTTCCTCTTTCAAAGTTATTCTATAGGGAACCCTCAGTACGCTCCTCAAGTATGGCACCAAACTCCTGGGACATCCTGTATAGTAAAACAAGACACAAAGAATTTGGCTGCAGCAACATTTCCACAGAATTACACTTTTGGTTTTAATTTTTAACTCATGTACAGATTTTGTCTGTGCTCTATGACATATTTTTAAACCTACAAGTCTGAAGTAGCATACTTGGTTAAAGCATTATGCTACAAGCTGGAAGGTTGCAGGTTTGATTCCCAATGAGGTCAGTAGAATTTTTAATTACCTAATCCTTCCAGCTGCACTATGGCCCTGGGTTTGACTCAGCGTCTAACAGAAATGAGTACCAGGAATCTTCCTGGGGTTAAAGGGCAGCCAATGTGTGAGGCTGACAACCTCACCACCAACTGTGAGCCAGTTGTCTAGAAAAATGTGGGAGCCTCAACGTCTCACAACCCTATGGGTCTGTACAGCTTATTGCAGGGATAGGTTTACTTTTCTTTGAGATACGTAGGATTTTAAGTTCTGCCAGTGGCAGTTATGAAGCAGGTAGCAAACTACCTACTTCATGCTGGTTCCTTGCTTGGCTTATTCTTCGACTGTGAAAGTGGAGGTGACATGTTTCTTCAAAATGTCAGTTGACTTTCAACAGACGAAATGGCACATCCCAGGAGATGTGTCTGGTTGCTTTCATATATTTTTTATTGTGGTCATAACAAAAAAACAAGCCAAAATAATTTCTTACTCTTACTGCAGTCTTCTCAATAGTGCGATCAACATAGCAACAGCAGATTTGTTTCTGCAGTACGTGAATATCAAGGCCATCAGGCGTGCACCATTGCAAGAAAAATATTGGAAAGTGGGAAAATATATGGGGTGTTTTTCATGCATATACATTCGGTCACTATTAATGCTCCACAGGTTAATTTTCTTTTCCTATGTTTATGACACTGTCAGTAACTAAACTGTGTAGTGCTGAAGGGAGGGATGATTGATGAATTAGGAAAGGTTTGGAAGGAAGTGATCATGGTCTGTTTGATGAACTATCCCAGAATTTGCCTGGAAGGACTGGGGAAAACCATGAAAACCTAAATAAGGATAACCATTGTTCTGGCCAAGATTCAAACTGGACACCTCACAGAGATGAGTCTAGAATGTTTGGATAGTTGATTTAAGGGTTTCTTTCATTTAATGATATGAAGTCAGTAATCCTAGTGTTAAATTTCCTCTATGAGGAAGAGTTAGTAAAAAACATATATTTTTCTACAGTTGTCATTCTGACTACTGAAACCAGTGTCTGAATAAGTGCGCATGCATCCGCTACTGAGACCATCATCAAGCTCTACTGTGCTGCTACCTAGTGATACACATAGAAACCCTATTACATCAAGCTACTCATTTGTGACCTATCTACTGACTCTCCCTCATAATTAAAATTTTATTCAGTTTAGTGTTCAAATCCACTGCTCCGCAGTGTAATGTTAAACTTTAAAGTACAGTGGTTTGAATGGCCAGTAACCCCCAGTGGCCCAATGTTGCATTTTAGGATCAGTGCTACAGCTTCATGTTTTTACTTAAAATGTGTATCTTCAGAATTTAAGGTGCAAAATAATTGGGGGGGGGGGGAAAAATTTTTNCTAGAGCAACATCCATTTTGTCATTTTTCACGTTTCCCATATTAACCTGTAGCTCAAGTTATGTAGTAAAAGGCATAATTGAAGTTCATGTCAGTTTAAATCTGTGTTCTTAATGAACACACATTCACATTTAGTGGGAAAGCCTCTTAAAGAAGGGGTAACAGTATGTGCGTTTTCATTTTAGATGTGATGCATTGTTTTGAGCTTCGAACAACCAATGTGGACTATTATGTGGGAGAAGACCCCCTGTATGGTCAGAAGGATGCTACAGGAGTTACTCTTCCACCAGCTGACAGTGGAGTTGGGGCTCACCTTGCCAAGAGCTGGGAGACCAGCATCCGTCAAGCTCTCATGCCTGTTACATCACATCCAAGTAAGGACTTCAGAAGTGTTTAAATTTAATGTTCTAATGGCAGTCAGTGTTCAGAAGCCACTTGATGTCTGCTTTTTGCTGGTTCTTTGTGCATCCTACCTTCAGTCCTAAGGATGGAAGTAACACATTCCTGTGAAGTGTTGGTGGACTTCTTCTGGGCTATATGGCTTGACCACCCATATAATCACCGCTGTGAAAACCTATTCATACTGTTCCTCTTACTCCCCTTGGTTTCCTCTACCAGCACCATTGTTCCACACTTACAGGGTCACAGGGTCAATATTCTTTATACTGTTCCTCTTATTCCTTTTGGTTCCCTCAGAACACCGGTCCCAGCCCTCCCTCTCTCTATATCAGTACCATGTTCCTCCATGCCTAGCTTAGCTTTCTACCCTGAAGATTTATGTAGCAGTTGCCTCTGAGGGTGTACCTATCTTCCACCCTTCTCCCTTGATATCTTCTGTTCTTTCCTCTCTTCTTGATGTCTGCCATTACCAGGCTAAACCATCTTGTTCACAGTCATTCCACAGGTTTTTTTTCCATTTAAATTTTAATTCCAGTTTCCCTTCCATAGTCTTGTTCTGTGCATTCTCTTTACATGGCAAACCTTTGTAATAATTTTTCTTTAAACAAATTTTATCTTTAACTCCTCTAAGAAGCTTGTCTTTGTTTCTATCCTGTCTTGATTTACCTCAGGTTTCTGCATTTAATGTCAGTATTGTTTGCACATCAGTATAGTTCGTTGAGGCAGTGTGCTACAAGCTGGAAGGTCGCAGGTTCTATTCCCAGTGAGATAATTGGATTTTTCAATTGACTTAATCCTTCCATCCGCACTATGGCCCTGGGGTCAACTCAGCCTCTGACAAAAGTGAGTACCAGGAATCTTCCTGGGGGTAAAGGGCAACCGGTGTATAAGGCTGACAACATCGCCGCCATCTGTGAGCTGATTGTCTAGAAGTGTCTAGCGTTAACTTCTCAGAATCCTATGGGCCTGCACGGCCTGTTGCAGGGATAGATTTACCTTTTTATTTGTTGAAAATATACATTATAGATTGTTGCTTCACGCTGCTGTGTGATATCTGTGTTCCATTTCAGCTTCCATAACAGCACAGTTGCTCGATAACTATCTTATACTCAAGGAACAGCACTTGGAAGGACATGGGTCATGTCTTCCAAAATTTGAGTGTGTAATTCTGTTTCTTCCTATGTCACAGTTTCCTTTTTCTTTCACAAAATATTCTGATTCACGTTATGACTGTCATTGTTTCAGAAGGAGACATATCAGATGAGCCAGAAGAGAGGATTACAGATATGAGTCAGTTGTACCAGATCTTTGCAGATGAGGTTCTTGGCTCAGGACAATTTGGGATCGTGTATGGAGGTGAGTAAGCTTAATATTCCACTGTAATTCCATCATTGCAAATGGTATAAAGTTTTTCTTGTCTTTCTACAAAATGCATGAAATGAACTTGTAATGGAGACATCATGTCAGTCCATCAGTCGAGATGTTTCATCTCCAGACTTTCAGTGGATTTGATGAAATTCAAGTATTGAAGCCCTGTCTTAGATGTCACTGTTTGATGAATTTAATTTTAATTGTTCTTTATAGTTTATTTAACGATGCTGTCATTAACTTGAACTCTGTAGCAAATGGTTGAAATGTAGTGAATACCAAACTGTAAGCGATGTGGGAGAAAGCCTTCCTGTCTTAATTTAAGGTGCCATCAAAGCAGATGTCTGGATAGACTGAGGAAAACCATGGAAAACCTGAGCCAGAACAGCAATGTCCTGGTCAAAATTCAAATGAGACACATTTCTTACACAAGTCAGAAGCATTCATGGCTTGATCTAACTTGCTCAGTAAGTTCTTTTTTGTAGCAGTGAAATGTGAACAGATCCAGATGTAACCTTTTCCATAATGTCTTCATTTCATACACTTTGTACAGATAATTAATAGAAATAAGTCATACAGATTTTGGGAAGAAAGACATGATTGGAAAATTTTTGTCCATCAACCCATATAAAACAGAAGTGATGCTAGAAGGGGTTGAGGGGGAGGAGGAGGACGATGATGACAGCAACAACAGCAACAACAACAGCTAAAACAATAAAGGGAAATTGTTTGTGTTTGGTATCTCTTTCAGGGGTGCATCGCAAATCGGGTCGTGCTGTGGCAATCAAAGTGATTGACAAATTGAGGTTTCCCACCAAGCAGGAGGCACAATTGAAGAATGAGGTGTCAATCTTGCAGAATCTGTCACATTGTGGGGTTGTAAACCTAGAGCGCATGTTTGAGACATCGGAGCGAATCTATGTGGTGATGGAGAAGCTGAAAGGAGACATGCTGGAGATGATACTGTCCAGTCAAAATGGCAAGCTAAGTGAGCGAATCACAAAGTTCCTCATCACACAGGTACATTACATGCTTCATATTTCTTTGTACAGAATGTACCATTTAAAATGCAACACAAACTATAAAAGTATATGCAGGCTTACAAGTAACATAAGTACTTTTGTCTTACCCAGCTCTTCTTATCAGAGTATTCATTGCTAAGTGCTTCAACAGAACATGATTTTGATGTGACATAATGTTTGAGAATTGACACATTTTGCTTGTCATTATGCTGTCTCATGTCTAGAACTTCTGCATAACTTGGGAGAGCAGCTGTCTGAAATTGATTCAGATATTATGAGGAAACTTGGAAAGGTCCATTACATGAAGGGAATATATTATCACATGTTAAATGAACATAGATGGGTTTTTGGATTGATAACTGGGTTTATTGTACGCTTTTACAGCTTGTGGCTGTGCTTCACTGATCATTGTCAAACACTGACAAGTTTTCTCAGTCGTGTTGCTTGTGTTGGACATTCCTCTGCTTTCCGGCTCACGTTCTTGCATGCTCGCTTCTGCCGGTACTTCCTTTCTTCCAGGGGGGCTGACTCACTCAAAATTGGCTCCTTATGTAGCCTCAGGGGTAACTGCACAGAAAACACCTTCTCCAACAGTTCCTCTGTTGCATGCATCCCTGTCACCGTGGGAACATGACGCAGACTGCAGTGATAACATCAAGTCACATGTTATCATGCTGTTCCCTAGCAATGGACGTTTCTTCTGACTCCGAAATTCTTGCTTTGAGCAAGTATACCACAATATGATTTATTTCCTGTACTATCTCTCATGATTGTTGGTTGGATTGCATTTCAAATTGTACATTCTGTAGAATTTCGGCACCAAAGATAAAAGTTCAGTATTGTATGATTTAACATATGGCACATTAGATTTTTACAATGTATTATGATATTTTATGTACATATTTATATTCACAAAACATATTGTAATAGTGGTTTCTAATTGTACTGATATCTTTCTGAAGATGGTCTCTAGGACCAAAACATGTACAGGATAAAAGATTAAAAAGAAAAAACCACCAGTCACACTAGACAGAATTAATTCAATATTGTAAGTTGTATCCTGTTTGTATAGCTATCCACAGCCTATCTTATATCTGTGAACAAAGGTCTCCCTCCATCCATTCCATGAACACAATCGGACTCAGCAACAGATTAATGGCAATAGTGTCTACCTGCAGGAAGTCCCATTTATCCACAAGTAAGTCTCGTCACCAAAATGCAGGGCAAAATCATGACATAAAGATAGGAAACAGATGTTTTGAAAATGTGGCACAGTTCAGATATTTGGGAACAGCATGAACAGATCAAAACCTGATTCAGGAGGAAATTAAGAGGAGATTGAACTCGGGTAATGCTTGCTACCATTCAGTCCAGAACCTTTTGTGTTCTCATCTGCTGTCCAAAAACATGAAAATTAGAATATACAGAACTATAATTTTGCCTTTGGTTCTGTATGGGTGTGAAACTTTGTCTCTGTCATTAAGGGAGGAACATAGACTGAGGGTCTTGAGGAGAATATATGGACTGAAGAGGGATGAAGTGACAGGAAGTTGGAGAAAATTACATAATGAGGAGCTTCCTAACTTGTACTCTTCTCCAAGTATAATTAGAATGATCAAGTCAAGGAGGATGAGGTGGGCAGGTCATGTAGCACGAATGAGGGAGACGAATGTGTATAGGATATTGGTGGGAAAGCCGGAAGGAAAGAGACCACAGGGGTGGACAATATTGGAATGGATCTTGGAGAGATAGGATGGGATGGTATGGATTGGATAGATCTGGCTCAGGATAGGGACCAGTGGAGGGTTCTTGTGAACACGGTAATGAACCTTCGGGTTCCATAAAATGCTGGGAAATTCTTGAGTAGCTGCAGAATTGGCGACTACTATAGAAGGGCTCAGCTCCATGAGTAAGTAAGTAAGTAAGTAAGTAATTAAGTAATACCCCCACGGTCGATCACAGTGGGTGCGTGGTCTAAGGCATGAACTGTCTTTGCCCACCCGAACCCCAAGGTAGTGGATTCAAATTGCACTCCAGGCATGGATATTTGTCTAAGTTTATCCTGTGTAGGTAGCGGCCTTATGACAGGCTGATCACATGTCCAAGGAGTCCTACTGACTGTAAGATTAAGAAACTGAAGTGAAACGAAGCATTTCATGGATGCCCTATGCTCCAGATGGAGCAACAGGAAACTGAATGAATGAATGAATACCCCCACATTATCACTAAATAATTAAGATATTTTATGATTATATCATACAAAAATTATAATCAGATATTCTGTTGTCATCATAGAATAATTTGTTTTTCATTTTCTTTTTTTCTCCCCTGTTACTGTGCTGAGGTTTGAAGCTGGGTCCTTTTGAACCCTATTTTGTTGTTACTAGGTTCATAGCCTTTGTTCATCTGCTAGTGCTCTGAGCACAATACAATGTTTTGGAAATTGCATCTGATCTAATGAATCAGATTGGTTCTATGTAATTTTTGTATTTGTGTAGGTACCTGTCCACTTTTCACCTAAGTGTGGAAACAGATCTGTTTTCAGAAACCTGTTCTATTTGGAATATAGGTGATGGACAAATTACTGAAATCCAGTAACTGTGTGATGTGCCGTCTTCAAACCCCTTTATATTCGAACCATTCTGATGCAAAGTTCTGATCTTATTTCCTGTTGGCCACATATTCACCATTAGACCATGGAGTTCCCACCTACCTCATGGGTAAGAACTATAAATATTTATACCAGGCCGCTGTTGTCAGTTTGTCTTCAAGATGGAGACAGACACAATGTCTGAAATACTGGCAAACCATCCAATCACAACATGGTATTATCACACGCGGGTGAAAACACATATAGGTACAAACCACCAGAAACGCCAAAAGTTTTCTGTACTGAGACTTGCAAGTTTTGCTGTAGATACACTAAAATTTTCTCATATGATCATCTCTGTCAAAGTTGAGTTAAAAGCAAAAATTTCAGACCACCTTTGTTTCTATAGTTAGAGATTTGGACAGGGCAGGTCTCTGAAATGTTGGTTCTCCACTGCAATGAGGTTTGTGACCTGACAGGATTTTAGTAAATGTTCATACATTGCCTAATGTTTCCCCAAACTTGTGATTTGTTGCAGATCCTTGTGGCCTTGAAACATCTTCATAGTGAGAATATTGTGCACTGTGACCTCAAGCCAGAGAATGTGTTACTGAGTTCTGACTCTGATTTTCCTCAAGTGAAGCTGTGTGACTTTGGCTTTGCTAGAATTATTGGTGAGAAGTCATTTCGGCGCTCAGTGGTTGGCACTCCTGCCTATCTTGGTGAGTTGCTAAGAGATAGGGCCTAATGTCATTATTTCTATTTGCCTTC